TGCCGAAGAATTGATGCTTTTGAGCTGTGGTGTTGGAGAAGGCTCTTGAGAGTCACTAGGACAGCAAGGAGATCCAACCAGTCCACCCTAAAGGAAATAAGTCATGAATATCCATTGGATATTCATTGGATATTCCTGAATATTCATTGGATATTCATTGGAATATTCATTTAGCTGAAGCTAAAACTTAAATACTTTGGCCACCTAATGGGAAGAACTGACTCATTTGAAAAGACCCTGATGCTGGGAAAGATTGAAGGTGGGAGAAGAGGACGACAGAGGATGGGATGATTGGATGGCATCACTGACTTGATGGACATGAGTTTGAATAAACTTCTGGAGTTGGTGATGGACAGGGAAGCCTGGCGTGCTGCAGTCCATGGGGTCGCAAAGAGTCGGACACGACTGAGCGACTGAACTGAAATGAAATGAACTGAAGCTCAAGTCAATGTATGACAAAAACCACTACAATATTGTGAAGTAATTAGCCTCCAACTAATAAAAAAAAAAAGAAATGAACTGAAGCTGGGACACCTCTATGCACAGTCCCTCTCTGCAGCATACCTCTTGTGGAAGTTCCAACAGCTAGAGTTTTAATATGGATTAGGAAGGTCAGCTTTTGAAATTAAATCAGGAGCTTCCCTGGTGGCACAGTGGAAAGAATCTACCAATGCAGGGGACATGGGTTCAATCCCTGTTCCGGGAAGATCCCACGGGCCACGGAGCAATTAAGCCTGTACACCACAACTATTGAGCCACAACCACTGAAGCCTGTGTGCCCTAGAGCCTGTGCTCTGCAACAACAGAAGCCACTGCAGTGTGAACTCCCTGCACCACAATGAAGAGCAGCCCCTGCTCACAGCAACGGGAGAAAGCCCATATGCAGCAACGAAGACCCAGTGCAGACCACATTTTTTTAAATTATTAATCAAAAAGAAATAACATCAAATACAGAGTAAGGAATCACCCACCAATTGTGATAATGGGTATTTTACTTGTCAAATGTAAATCTTGATAATTTGATTTTACTGAAACAATATCATCACCACAACCAAAACATCCTCCGTAATTCCTGAGGTGGTTAGGCCCTTGGAGATCAAGGATCAGGCCTGATTTTTCTTTAAAGGGAGTAACTCTATGTTTATGCACTCTGTGTGGGGACATATCAAACCTTCCTGTAAAAAGCCAGATAATAAGTAGTTTAGGATTTGTGGTCTACACAGGTCTCTTTCACATATTCTTGTTTGTTTAACCCTTTAAAAACTAAACCTGATTTAGCATGGTTTGCCCATCCCTAGTTCAGATCCTGATACCTCCTGAGTGCCTGCCTACTAAGTCGCTTCAGTCGCGTCCCACTCTTTGTAATCCTACCGACTATAGCCTGCCAGGCTCCTCTGTCCATGGGATTCTCCAGGCAAGAATACTGGAGTGGGTTGTCATCTTCCTGACCAAAGCCTTGAACCCACACCTCTCATACCTGCATGGGCAGGTGGGTTCTTTACACCACCAGGGAACCCCCTCTCCCCCTCTGAATACCACCTCTGAGGCCCAAAACAGCAAGATATGTCTCTAAAACCAGTGGTTCTCAACCCTGGTTAAGCATTGAAATTATCTAAAGAGCTTTTTAAAGGAAAATTGGTATCAGCCCTGCATTTCCACCACTGATCCAGATTCTTACGTTGCTTTAATGTTCTCTGGATCAGGGATCCCCAGCCTCCAGGTCACAGGCCTGTCTGGGACTGTGGACTGTGAGGAACCAGGCCGTACATCCAGGGGCGACTAGCCAGGGAGTAAAAGCGGCTTCATCTGTATCTGCAGCCACGGCCTCCTATGGCTATTACCACCTGAGCTCTGCCTCCCGGCAGATCAGCAGCAGCATTCAGATTCTCATAGGAACACGAAACATACTGCACTTGAATCATCCTAAACCATCCCCACCACCCTCTTCCTTGAAAAAATTGCTGCTGTTCCAGATGGTTCTCTGGACAGGCAGGGTTAAGAGCCCTAGTTACAAACAGTAACAGCTACCTCCAGAAGTGGGAATTTCCCCCAAGGAAAACCGCCTTTCACTTTTCTATGTATTGGGGTTTAATTCATAATCTCAGTCTGGTTCCAGCTAGTTTTATAATGGGATCTGGACTTTTGTATAAACAAAATTACCTCATTCATGTTAGCAACAGCTACCAGAGGGCCTCCCTGACGGCCCAGTGGTGGGGAGTCTGCCTGCCAACACAGGAGACAAAGATTCAATCCTTGGTCTGGGAGGACCCCACGTGCAGCCGGGCCCGCCTGTCCACAGCTACCGAAGCCCGCCTGCCCTAGAATCGGCACTCCACAAGAAGTCATTGCAATGAGAAGCACATGCCTGCAACTAGAGAGTAACCCCCCCACTTGTCACAACTAAAGAAAGCTAGCATGCAGTATGGAAGATCCGGGGCAGCCAAAGATAAGTAATTAAAAAATAATAATATTAGCTACTATATAACAATTGCTTATTTTGTTCCTGGACCAATGCAAGGAGCTTAAAATTATGATTAACAACCCTATGGGTACGAACACATTTTAACAGTTACAAAAGCAAGTTTAGGGATGCTAAGAAAAGTCTAACAATTATATCTGGAAGGTGCTACATCCAAATGTTTGGCTTCAAAACTCCTATGTACAACTACCACATTTCAGTGTTTCTCTTAAGAAATAAATGAGAAATAAACCAGAAAATTGGTGGCAGGGACTTCCCCGACAGTCCAGCAGCTAAGGCTCTGCACCCCCAATTCAGGGGTCACAGGTTCGATCCCTGGTCAGGGAACTAAAATTCCACACACCACAACGAAGCCCTCACTCCACAATGAAGAGCCTTGCAGGTGCGATGAAGATCCAGTGCAGCCAAAATAATAATAATAATAAACTTTGGTGATAGCTTCAAAACAGCATATTCCCCTGCTTCTAGTTGTTAATTTTTCAGAAGTTTTGGGAGTCTAACTTCAAGACACTCTAATCCAGTTATTCCTCCCATAGGCAAGGGGAAAAAAAAGTGCTACTTATGTCAAGTTTGCATATATTCATGTGCTATATTCATTCAAAAACTCTGAGTGCTTATGTTCCAGAAAGTACATTTCAACCCAGGGAACAAAATATACAAGTCACTGCTTTCATGGCTTTTGTACACAACAACCAATCCAAGGGTTCATCTATAAATGAGAAATATGATCTAGAAATTAGAAATAACCATACAGATATCTATCCTATACGGTTATTGTGAAAATCAAACGTTAATTCTACACATAAACTGGTTACATGGTACGTCACACATAGTAAGTGTTCGATGTTACAATTAGTGTATGCTCCAGCAAGAACTGAGTGACCTTGGGCTTCCTTGGTGGCTCAGAGGGTAAAGCGTCTGCCTGCAATGCGGGAGACCCAAGTTTGATCCCTGGGTCAGGAAGATCCCCTGGAGAAGGAAGTGGCAACCCACTCCAGTATTCTTGCCTGGAGAATCCATGGATGGAGGAGCCTGGTAGGCTACAGTTCACGGGGTCGCAGAGTTGGACACGACTGAGCGACTTCACTAGGGATATAAAAGCAAATACCACTGTAATTCTTCAGTTCCGTCCAGTCGTGTTGGACTCTTTGTGACTCCATGGACTGCAGCACACCAGGCTTCCATGACCAACTCCCAGAGCTTGCTCAAACTCATGTCCATCAAGTCTGTGATGCCATCCAACCATCTCATTCTCTGTCATCCCCTTCTCCTCCTGCCTTCAATCTTGCCCAGCATCGGGGGCTTTTCCAATGAGTCAGTTCTCCACATCAAGTGACCAAAGTATACCAGCTTCGGCTTCAGCATCAGCCCTTCCAATGACTATTCAGTGTTGATTTCCTTTAAGACTGACAGGTTTTATCTTGCTGTCCAAGGGACTCTCAAGAGTCTCCTTTGATCTCCTTGCTGTCCAAAGGGCTCTCAAGAGTCTTCTCTAATTTGTAACAATGAGGAATTATCTTTGAGGTACCATATAAGCAGTTCATATGTAGAACTGCATTTGATTTTCACAACCTTACAAGATAGATATCTATACCATTATTTCTAATTTATAGATCTTATTCCTCTTTTATAGATGAACCCTGGATTTCTTAAACTCAATGGTAGGTTAAGTGCTGGTGAGGAACTCAGCATTGAGATAAAAAGATTCAGAGATGTAACCCCTGCAATGGGTCTTAAGGAAGGAAAACAATTTTGCCTCGTGATGCAGTAGTTATTCCAGCTAGCCCGGGCAGGGGAGAAGAGAGTGCTAAAGAAAGATTAAACCTAATAAAGCGACTAGATTGGGAAAGTTCCTGGAATCCATCGCAAAAATTTAGGCTCTTTCCTCCTATGCAGTACAAGTGATTTTTTTTCAGTTGCTTATCATATTGATAAGCAACAATATGAGGCATCATCTTTGTGCTCCAAGAAAAATTTTACAAAACCATAAGAGACCCACTATTCTACTTAGTGTTCAATGTTAGACCCAAAGTAAACCCCAATAAACAAGGCGAAACTACGGGAAAGACCAGGAAAGCAGCATAACATCCTAGATGACAAACGATAAGAAACATAGCCAAGAACGGGCTCAAAATGGAGGACAAGGCGGCAGAGAAAAGACTCCGCAAAAAACGCAGGGGTGGAGCGTGACGTAATTTGGAAGCAGGTCTAAACTCACACTCTTCCGTACTATTGGCTTGACACTAACCCTTTTTCCTTTTCCATTGGCTCCCGGCACCGTCAATGTGTCAAAATAACCAATCGCCTAGCCCCATGGGTAAAGTCCGCCCTCCCTTCCTGGGGGCGGGGCCATAAGAGCACACCAGGTCCAGTGCGCTTGCGCGAGCGCGCGCTCCGCCGGTTAAAAGCGGATCCCTGCAGGAGGCGGTGTCGCAGCGTATGAATATTGATTACGCATCGCCGCGCCGAGCGCCCGCCCCTCTCGGCTGTCCGACGCTCGCGGCTCGCGCTCGGGCTCGCGATGGGGAAGAAGTCCCGGGCGGTACCCGGCCGAAGGCCCATCCTGCAGCTCTCTCCGCCAGGTCCCCGGAGCAGCACGCCGAGCAGGGACCCAGAGCCGGAACCCGACGCCGAACCGGACTCGACGGCGGCAGCGGCGGCGTCCAGCCAGCCGGCCCCGGCAGCGGTGTCGACGACAACCGCGGTGACTGCCGCCGCGGCGGCCTCGGAGGACTCGCCCTCAGAAGGTAGAGTGCGCGAGGGCCCTGGCGCTGAGGTGGGGCCAGTCCGAAACTCGAGCTCGAGGGTTGCGGCCTAAGTCTGTCAGACTGGGCCTGTGAGGAACGAGAAGCCCGGGCGGGCGGCGTCCTCCGAGGCCTGCTGCGCGGGGCCTGCGGGGAGGACGGCTGTGGGCCCGGAGGGGCGGAAGGGGCCGCGGAGCCCTGTGCGCTCGGCTGAAGTCGACCCAGAGGCGCCATCTCGGGTGCAGGGCTTGGCCCGGGCCGCCCAGTCTCCTTCCTTACCGTCTGCTCTCGGTTTTGAATAACTTCACGGGGTAAATGGAGACGGTGCGTTTCCGCGTCCTAGCCTCGGTGACCGTGGAACCTGCCGTTTGCTACACGTCGTGTGCTTTTCGTTTCGTTTTTGTTGAAATTGAGAGAGACGCTTTAGAAGTAACTACTTCTGTTACGCCAGCTCTGGTGTAAGTCCCTCCTAGTTGGCAGGTTTCCGCAGCATTCCTGGAGAGGTGGAGCTCGTGGGTTCCCATTCACTGGTGTTTATCCCCAGAATGGTACTTGGTTTAAGATGAACCAGACAATTACTTTAGGGGCCAGATGCCGGAAAAGCCCCGACCATTTCAGGTGCTAAAAAAGAATAATAATAATAAAGATCACTTTGGGGAGAAAAATGCTCTAGTTATGCCGTATGGTTAACCTGGAGAGAACTTAACGTGTGTGTGTATATGTGTTTTAACTTTGGATTCAGATAATTTTTATATATGATGTTCACATTCTTAATGTTAACGCCACTGGGCAAAGTGAAGATTCTAGCTATGTTTCTCGCCTCTCAGTTATTTGGGTCAGTAATGGGTTAGATCCACGTTGTTTGATGAAATCTAGACTTAGAGAAGTCAAGTCACAGATTGTTTTGTCACCTGTGTAGTTTTTTCTCTGTTCGATCATCTGTCTGTCGTTTGCTTTTGTTCGCTGTTTTAGATCCCGATGAACAGGAGGTGGTGGTGGAGGTTCCCAGAGTTGTTCAGAATCCTCCCAAACCAGTCATGACCACCAGGCCCACTGCTGTTAAAGCAACAGGTATAGTTGTGTTTTTTTTTTTTTTATTCATTTTCTACAATCTTTCTTTAGGATCAAATTGTGTTTGCATATGGTGTTTTGATGAATGTTTCAATGTTGCAAATTTATGCTCCCATTAAATGGAAATTTAACATCTTTGTGAGGGCTTGTAGTTGTATGTATACACTTTAACCACTGTAAAATTTGCTGTTCTTGTCTCTCTGTACCCAAATTAATTTCTACTTTTTCTACTAATGCTGTTTTCTTGACTTATTTTTTATTGAAGGATAATTGCTTTACAGAATTTTGCTGTTTTCTGTCAAACCTCAACATGAAACAGCCATAGGTTCACATATATGCCCTCCCTTTTGAACTTCCTTCCCATCTGCCTTCCCATCCCACCCCTCTAGGTTGGTGCAGAGCCCCTGTTTGGGTTTCCTGAGCCACACAGCAAATTTCTGTTTGCTCTCTATTTTACAGATGGTCATGTAAGTTTCCATGTTACTCTTTCCATACATCTCACCCTCTCCTTCCCTCTCTCCCCTCTCATGTCCATAAGTCTATTTTGTATGTCTGTTTCTCCATTGTTGCCCTGTAAATAAATTCTTCAGTACCATTTTTCTAGATTCCGTATGTATGTGTTAGAATACTGTACGTATCTTTCTCTTTCTGACTCACTTCACTCTGTATAATAGGTTCTAGGTTCATCCACCTCATTAGAACTAACTCAAATGTGTTCCTTTTTATAGCTGAGTAACATTCCATTGTGTGTGTATATATACCACAACTTCTTTATCCTACTAATGCTATTTTCTAACTTGTTTTCTGGTTTCCCCAGTATTTTGGCACTCTTTAGGGAATGCTAACAATGTCTTTTTGTCCTTTGCTTTAACAGACTGCTTTGATTGGTACCTAGCAAATGTTTGCACAGCTGAAAATTGCTCTTACTGAATATTTTTTAAGCATGAAAGAATATGTGCAACAGTGGTTTTGTAGACAAACCTGGGTTCAAATCACCACTCTAGCATTCATACTAAGACCTCATGACATCATTCATCTGTAAAACAGATCTTTCATCCCTAAGTTGTTTTGATGATTAAATTGAATAACGTATAAATTTCTAACCCACAAGTGCTGAAAATGTTTGTTTTCTCTACTGTTTGTATATCTTGAGAGATTAAAGTGTGTTTTCATACTAAATACTCTATAATTGGTAATAACTTTGGTCTTCTGAATTTGAGGGACTTTTTGTATTATGTACCTGAAGTAATAGATGCTTGTTCCTCCCCATGCCCCATTTACCACTTAAAAAAAAAGTGTGAATTAGAAAAGGTAACCTGGAGAAGGGAATGGCAGTCCTCTCCAGTATTCTTGCCTGGCGAATCCTGTGGACCCTGGGAGCCTGGTGGGCTACAGTCCATTGGGTCGCAAAGAGTCGGACATTACTGAGTGACTAACACACACACAGGAAAGGTAAAACAGGTTGTGAAAGAAATTTCAGAACTAGGAGATACCATTACGTTTTCAAGAGTTTGGAAGAGATTTTATGTATATAGTATGAAAAACTCTGAATTGAAGAGAAAAGACTAGATGGAGCCTTGGGTGAACCTATTGCTTATAAGACCCACTTTAAGCCTGGGTAATTACCCTGGCTGAATTTTGTTATCCAAATTCCCCCCAGCTCACCTGGCTGGAACCTTTTACCAAAGTATATAGAATTAAAGCCAATGTTTATTATTGTCTCTAAACTAAGAAGGGTTTCTATGTAAAAATATAAATTTCCCATCCTCTGCTTTCCCCCAGAAACCCATCAGTGCTGAATTCTAAGGTGCAGATATTTTCTGTACAGAAATGTCTTATGTAGTTTTTGCCCTTACCTGTTGTTCAGGAAGTGTGGAAAATTGACTGGTATCTACGCCATCCCCCCCACCCCCCCAATCACCAAATGAGATATAACATATTTAGAAACCGGAAAGGGGAGATACTGTCTTAATAAATGTCCACTAAAAAATCTACCTAATCAGTTTAAAATAATATTTTGGAAATTGGTAGTGTAACAACTTAGCTATATACTAAAAAATAATGAAAGCATGATTTATGTGACTAAAGTATTGAATGTGAACTTTTGTATATAAATGAAGCAATTTTTATTCACAGCTAGGTGAATCTATGAATTTGTTTATGGAATTATAACAAAGAAAATTAGATTTTATCTCCTGATAAATCTTTTCAGGACTGGAAAATTCAGTCCTGTTATTAACTGAAAAGTCAAGTTAAACTTAGTTCATGTGCCTATTATGATGAAATATATAAGGAGTATATGTGCTCACTTAATTGTAACATTAGAGTAATATCGATCAACTAATAAAGTTTCAGGTTTTTTTTTTTTTTTTTTTTTTTAAGAAGGGAGTTGCATTGCCACATTACAGAAGCCATACTTAATATTTTCAATTTTAGCTGTGATTTTTGTTTTCTTTGTTTTGGTTGTAGCATATTATGTCCTGTTTCAATTCATCACTTGTTTGAGAGGAGAAAATCATTGAAAAGAGCTTTGTTTTCCACTTTGAAAAATCTCCTTGTTTCATTTACTAAACTCTAGTTGATTTACTTGTTTGAGATAGAGACCTAAATCAACAGATTCTAAAATCAGGATACATATTATGTGTTATTTTGACAGAGGGAGTACGTAGTTGAATAATTGAGCACATATTTTGAAAAGGATTTAAAAAAAAAAGAAAAGGATGTCAAATGGCTATGCAGGTTGATTTTATTAGTTCTAAGTGCATAATTATTTTGTACCTCTCTTGGTTAGCTGCAGATTTCTTAAGGTTCTATAAGTAAACTAAATATCTAAAGAACCCTATTTTCTGTTGGATACTTCCTAGGACTTTGGCATTGTTACAGATGTTTTACCTTTTGTTCCCAGGAGGTCTGTGCTTGCTTGGTGCATATGCTGACAGTGATGATGAAGAGAATGATATTTCAGAAAAACCAGCACAGTCTAAGGAAGCAAATGGAAACCAGTCAACCGATATTGATAGTACATTGGCCAACTTCCTAGCGGTTAGAAGTGCTCTTTTTTTTTTTCCATTTATTTTTATTAGTTGGAGGCTAATTACTTACAGTATTGCAGTGGTTTTTGCCATACATTGACATGAATCAGCCATGGAGTTACATGTGTTCCCCATCCCGATCCCCCCTCCCCCCTCCCTCCCCATCCCATCCCTCTGGGTCTTTTGTGTTTGGGTTGTTAGTTATTGAAGCCACTTTAGGATTTGAATTTCAAGCGGCTAGCCCACTTGTCAGTCTGCATCTCCCACTCCACTCTTCTCCCTTAGTCCCTCCCCATCTGTCTCACGTCTCCTTTTGTGCCAGTTGTAAGGAGAAAAATGTAGGAGAGGAGAGTTTTGACTTGAGAAGCCGAGACTCAAGCTTCTTGAGTCAAAACCGTGTACGGTGGAGGGTTGGTTTGTTTTTCATTATTGCCGTTTTTTGGGTTTCACGTCATTAATGCTTGTTGTTTTCGCCCTGAAGGAAATTGATGCAATAACAGCGCCTCAGCCCGCGGCTCCTGGAGCAGCGTCTGCTCCGCCCCCAACTCCACCCCGGCCAGAGCCGAAGGAATCGTCACCGGCCCTTTCTTCCGCTACACCTAATGGGACGGACTCAACCCAGACGGCAGGGTGGCAGTATGATACCCAGTGTTCACTGGCAGGAGGTAAGCTTGTGGTTTTGAGTTTTAAAGAAACCTAAAGTGTGGTTCTTAAAGTTGTTAATAGGTATTGAGGTTCCCAAAGGTGAAAGCCTATATACCTTAGCCCCAGACTTTAGAATTCTGGCTTTTTAAAATACAGTAGTTGGAAAATAACTAACTGCTCGATTATATTTTTATCAGAAGATGATTGTTTGCCTTTTAACCAGTGGTAGATTATACTCCGTAAATAATAAAAGCCATAATTTTTAAAAGTCTTTTGGGGTTTGTGATACATCTTTTCAGCTGTCAAACTGCTTTTTTAAATCATGTTTGCAAAGACAGCTCAGGAGGGAGGAGTCACCCCCCAAGGGACACTGAACAGCGTCTGGAGAGGGTTTGATTGTCACAGTGGAGGGTGGTGGGAGGAGCATCGCTGCATCCAGTGGGTAGGGGCCAGGATGCTGCTGAATACTGCTCAGGACTGCCCCCACAGCACAGAACTGTCCTGCCCAGTAACAGGGCTGAGGCTGAGAAACCCTGGGTAGATGGTTATGACTTGAGATACAAGGTCAGAATTGTGCAGAAGTGCCTACTGCTTAACATTCGTTTCATTTTCTTCCAGTTGGAATTGAGATGGGAGATTGGCAGGAGGTCTGGGATGAGAACACAGGATGCTATTATTATTGGAACACACAAACAAATGAAGTGACTTGGGAATTACCCCAGTATCTTGCCACTCAGGTACAAGGATTACAACATTACCAGCCCAGGTAAGAACAGATTTGAAAAAGAAGTTAACCTAGAAGGAAATCAGAGCCTTATCTTTTGCTGATTTTTGCTTTCTGTTGTTTTTGCTAAGTATATGTTTCTTTTAGTTCTGTAACAGGTGCTGAAGCTAGTTTTGTGGTAAATACTGACATGTATGCTAAGGAGAAGAATGCTTCTGTTTCCAGTAGTAAAAGTGGACCAGTCATAGCCAAGCGAGAAGTTAAAAAGGTCAGTGTTATAGCTCACCTCTGATGCTTATTTTCAAATCTGAAGAGCTTGAATGCTACTTTGTCACAGGTGTATTACCCTTCTGTTAATATTTTGCAACATAGATGCGAAACTGGATACATTTTGTTTCTTGATGTTTTACTTAATCTGTTTCTGTTTATTGTGTGGTATTTATAGCAGTTCCCCAGTTCAGTGGTGATTCTGGAGCTTTAGGGTGCCATAGAGGTCCCTTGGGTCATTGTGAAGGAAATGGGAGCAGCTAAGCAGGCAGGGAGGGATTTGGGGATTCTACTATTTTTTTTTTCTACTTTTTTTTTTTTTAACTTTAATACAAAGATTGGCTACCTTAAAAATGGCTGATAGTGAAATGAGAATTTTTATAGCCTCATCGATAAGAAAGGTAAGTTGTATTATGCTGAGAGAGAGAGAGAAAGTGTGTGTGTGTGTGTTGAATTTTAATTTATCTTGAATTTTTAAATGATGGGAGGTGTATCCAAAAAAAATGCTTTTATAAAATAATCTGTACAACTCCAGAGGGAGGGAGGTAGAGAAAATATCCCAGTGGAGGAAGTAAACACTTGAAATATAATCACACATTTCATTTTTGAAATATTTCACTTACCTCTCAATCACCTTCACAGCATATTTGTGAAGTTATCTCATCATACAGAAGAGGAAGATGAAGATATATCCACTTATGTGTTGAACTGACAAAGTTAGGATTTTATTTTAATCTGCTTCTGTTTTTCAGTAGTCCTTTGACATACAGAGGAAAAAAGATATGTTTGAGTTCCACCCAGAACAATAATGCTGCCTTCCTAAAGTAACATTATTTCCACTACACACATGTAAGGAAAATGGTACAAACATGTACTAATCTGAGGGAAGTCAGTGGTTTTGAAGAATATCCAGTGACTGAAAATTACGGTCATTTTTAGCATGAACAGTGAAACTGTATATTCAGGTGAAATTTCTTTGAAAGTTAAGCGAGATTTTATTCTTTATAGGAAGTAAATGAAGGAATTCAGGCTCTCTCAAATAATGAGGAGGAAAAGAAAGGGGTGGCAGCATCACTGCTTGCTCCTCTGCTGCCTGAGGGAATAAAAGAGGAGGAAGAGAGATGGAGAAGAAAGGTAATTTGTAAAGAAGCAGAGCCAGTTTCAGAAGAGAAAGAAGCAAGTGCAGAAGCAGCAGCAGCAGCGAAGCCACAGGAAGTCCTGCTGGACAGTGTGGAAGACCCTGCTCAGGAGGATCTTTGCAGTGTTGTTCAGTCGGGAGAAAGTGAGGAGGAAGAAGAACAAGATACCCTTGAGCTGGAGCTGGTTTTGGAAAGGAAAAAAGTAAGTCTTTGGTGTTTTTGTTAAATATATTTTCTTCCTTGAGAACTGTCGTACTCTGGGAACATTGGCTCCATTTGTGCCATTGGTGGGGCAGGGGGGCTATTTTTCTTGTCCTTTCATGTAGAGATGTTTAAGCCTATGAAACAGAAACCTGAACTCTGGAGTCAATCTACTGATGCCCTGAGTGTGAAGCAGAGTCTCAACAGGTGGTGTAACAGTAATACAACTTCGAAGCGTCCCCCTTTTGAAAAATTTGAAGCTGTGGCGAGCAGCTGGGCTTCCCAGGTGGCCCGGTGGTAAAGAGTCTGCCTGCCAGTTCAGGAGACTCGGGTTTGGGTCGGGAGAATCGCCTGAAGTAGGACATGGCAACCCACTCCAGTATTCTTCTCTGGAAAATGCCATGGGCAAGAGGAGTGAAAGAATGTGGAGCTTAATGCTCAGTCCTGATGGAGAGATGTATTAAGAGATACTTCTTGTCCACAGAGTACTTAAATTCCCAAAACACACGGCTGTCATTCTTGCTACTCACAGAGAAATGTTGGTAAACAGTTGATGACACTCTGTTTTCATGTTCGTTGTAGGCAGAATTGCGAGCCTTGGAAGAAGGAGATGGTAGTGTGTCAGGGTCTAGTCCATGTTCTGACATAAGCCAGCCGGCATCTCAAGATGGAATGCGTAGACTTATGTCTAAAAGAGGAAAATGGAAGATGTTTGTTCGTGCAACCAGTCCAGAGTCTACCAGCCGGAGTTCTAGCAAAACTGGACGAGAGACTCCAGAAAATGGAGAAACTGGTAACTGGTGCTTTAATTAAACTTGAGAGTTGAAAGATTTAGAGGAGCAATCCTTCTTACCTTTTTTTGTTTGCTCTGGAGCAAATAGAAGGGTATAGCACTTCTACCCTTCTAGGGAAATATGGGGAAGGAAACTTCTGCCTTTTCCTGCTCCACCTCTAGTGGAGCAGTAAGAATTCAAGAGGCTGGAATTCATTGGGTTGTGCAGTCACCGTTGATTGGAGATAACTTCTCCCTCAAAAACAAAAAAAATAAGATTGGGTCCCTCCTTCCCTTTTGTTTTAATCACTTGATACAGTTATCTTTCTTTTAATTTTTTGTTTGTTTGTTTTTTGACTGCTTCCGGTCTCTGTCACATTATAGAGATCTTTCATTGTGGCACATGGGTTGTCTAGTTGCAGCCTGAGGACTTGGTCGCCCCCGGGGCATGTGAGATCCCAGTTCCCTGACCAGGGATGGAACCTGCCCCCGAACCACTGGGGGTGTTCCCAGGCTGGCCAGTCTTTGGTTGGATGTGTAGGTCGTTTGGAACTATCCTGAGGACCCAAGTTATCTCCAGGGCAAGAGAGGAGAGAACCTGCTGCTTTCTTCAGTCTGTTACCAGAACTGACTAGTTTTAATCACCAGAATCTTAGTTGAGCATACCAAGCAGAAGATACCTTATAGGTTATGATTTTAAAATAATAAGAAACAAAAATATAGATAATAAATAAATGCAAACATCCTTGTTTGAATTTTTCTTTCCAGTGAACCATACAGAAGAATATAAAGTAGAATTCTAAAGGCCCCATCTCCCTCCTTCGTCTTTTGACTATTCTCATTCCCTCCTCTGAGGTCCATTTTCTGTATTATATTTTGTCTCCATATATTCTAGACTTTCTCTTTTATTTTTTATGTGCGTTTGTGATTGTGTGTGTACAGTGGGCATATGTAAATTTTGACATAGATGAGATTAACTATATTGTTAAACAACATGAAAATTGTTTTTCACTACTGAGTGTTATAGATGTGTTCATTTAACTCTTCCCGCATTGATCACCATTTGTATTCTCATTTCACTGTTAAAAGTAATACTGCATTTATATTATCCCTAAAAAGTATAAGCCATTCAAATGTCCATCTAAAGAATAGTGGATGAATTGTGATGTATTTGAAATTGAATACAGAATAGCAGTCAAAAGTGAATGATCCATTGTTACATGCATCAACATGAATTATCATCAGAAACAATAATGTTGGATTTAAAAAGCCATAGAAGAATACGTATGTTAGAATTCCCATGTGTGTAAATTGGAAAAGAAGCAAAATATTGTGCTTCAGGATCTATCCATGATGAAAGTACAGGCGCTTATTAACATCATCAGGGAGTGTCTGGTGTGAGCATGATGGGAGAGGGCACAGGGAACTTCACAGTGTCCTAATGGTCTTTTGTTAAGCTGGGTTGTGGTGCTGGAGTGCTCATGTTCTTTATATTATACTCGTTAGTGACGATACTTCACAATTAAAATCAAGCTTAGCAGACATCTTAGGACATCTGTCTTTATGCAGTGCTAGGTTAAGGGGTATGTGCATTTTAATTTGATAAATCCTGCCCAATTGCCCTCCAAAATAATCATATCTTAGAGCTCTAGCAATTCTTTGAAATTGTTAAATTCATAAACCTGTCATCAAATGTAAGATATCTGATATATAAATAAACTAGAAACTAGTCAATGGGAGAGTAGAAAGATTTAGTTTTAGACAATTTGAAAATGCAGAAGGAATTGTTAATGATCAAATAAAAAGAACAAGGCCATTGTATGATAAGGTTTAGTACTTGATACAAAATTTCAGACTTTATGAAAGCTGTTGAGAGTGGTGTTAAAGTCACATTTCTTCTTTAGATCAAAGATTAACCAAAGTTAAGAAAGGGTACTCAAATTTGTTCTTTTTCTTTTTATCTGATCCTCATGAGAGATTGATTTATACTGAGTATATGGATTAGTTTGATAGCAGGTGTTAAGCAAACATAACAAAGAGTTCATATCTTTTATGAACTCTTAGTCAATTTAAATATGTGGTAAACCTGTTCTCTTTTGGAGATTCCCAGTGCCAACAGACTGCGCCAACCAAAGGAATAAGTAGGTCTAATAAAGGTTGTCTACAGGTGTTAACCAAAAAGGGAGTTACTTGGTAACTTAACATGCTGCTCTGATTTTGAAAGCCTATTTATCAAAACCCCCTTGATAAAGAATCCTCACATATTCCAGGTTTGATATCTAGCTTTCATAAGTAGTTGAAGCCATGAGTTTTTGAAAGAGATGAGAAAAGGCGTTTGCCTGGTGATCCAGTGGTTAGCACTCTGCACTTCTGCTGCAGGGGCCGCCAGTTTGATCCTTGGTCGGGAAATTAACATGCCACAGGCCACTAGGTGTGACCAAAAAATAAAAAGTTCAGGAAAGGTTAGTAGATGGAGAAAGGAAATGCAGAAACTTCTGGGTAATGTGATAAAACACATAAATCCTGTATGTAGATATATATTAAGAAATGTGATTATAAAGCAGTGGTCCCCAACTCTTGGCACCAGGGACTGTTTTGTGGAAGATAATTTTTTCTTGTACCCAGTTGGGGGCGGGGAGGGCAGGGAATGGTTTCGGGATGATTCAAGCAAGTTATATTTATTGTGTACTTTATTACTATTAGCATCAGCTCCACCTCAGATCATCAGGCATTAGACCCTCAAGATAGGGGACCCCTGCTATAAAGGAATAATTTTTTTTTTGGCTTTATAAAGACAGTAGGTTGGTAAGTCGTTAGGGCTTCCTTAACATGTGAGGAAACCTAGGCAAAGGAGATCACTAATAACCTTCAGACGTCTCTGCTTTAGGGGCAACACAGTATATTTGGGACTCAGTACTGGTCTGGTGGTTGGTTTTTTGTGTTTTTTGTGTTTTTTTTTTACATTTTTTTAAAATATAGTTGATGTACAGTTTTGTGTCAGCCTCTCCTATTCAGGAAAGTGACTCAGTTATATACATGTAGATATTCTTTTTTTTTTTCTTAATATTTTCCATTATGGTTTATCACAGGATATGGAATATAATCCCCTGCACTGTAGAGTAAGACCTTTTTGTTGATGGTCCTTTTTATTTATTTTCATTTATTTTTATTAGTTGGAGGCTAATTACTTTACAATATTGTAGTGGTTTTTGTCACACATTGACATGAATCAGCCATGGATTTACATGTATTCCCCATCCCGATTCCCCCTCCCGGTCCTTTTGATTTAATTTCACATATTTTCTCTTGCAGCAGTTGGTGTTGAAAATTCAGAAAAAATAGATGAAAACTCAGACAAAGAGATGGAAGCAGAAGAATCTCCAGAAAAATTAAAAGTACAGACAGTACCTAAAGTAGAAGAAGAACAGGACTTGAAAGTATGTACATTACTTAATGCAACTTGACAAATAATATTTTTAATTGGCCAGCCATTTTAAAGAGGCTGACTACTTTTTTTTCTAGAAAGTAGTAAATTTTTCTTCTGGGAAGTAGTAAAAAAGTAATCTTTGCTGTCTTTAAATAGAAATCATGTATTTGGTAGAGTGAAAAGTTATATTTAAGGCTGAAATAAGGAGACTGACTTGATGTAGGGAAATCTAAAAATAAATTCTAAATGCTTAACTACTTATAAGTAAGTCTCCATTGGAAAGCAGTGGCTTATCAAATATAGGCCTGCATAGTTTGGAAGCATTAAAAGAAACTAAAGTCACAAATTTAAATAACAGATTTAACCTGCGTGAACTATTGGGTTGGCCAAAAAGTTCATTCAGATTTTTCTATAATAGCTTACGGAAAAACCAGAACGAACTTTGTGACCAACCCAATACTTGCCCTTACACGAGAGGCATGTTTGGTTCCATTTTCATTTCTGTTCCTAATGTCATGAGAAGAATTGGACCAAGTAAGTATGTGGCTCTTTAAGTGTAGTCTTTTGGAAAAACCACTTTGCCTGTTGTTTTGACTTTAAAAAGTTTATCTAGTCACCAGCTAGTGTACAACTGTGCAGGTAGAATTGGGAGAATTGGTTTTGTTCAGTGTATGGCTAGTATAAAGCAGTAATGGATGAGTGATGGTTTGGACGATATGGAGGAGTTACGTCATTTAGGATCTCTTTTCAAATTCCATATTGTTTCAGAGTAGATAGTGCATCCAGCTTCTCTAGATCTTGCATCATTATTTATCCTTTCTTTCTTCACATAATTTTTATGTGAATTATTTTACTATAAGTTAGGATTTTATCTTCTACATAACTAGTTGCACTATGTGAGAAAGGCTTAGTAGGCAGATCCATTTTTCTAGTATCTGTAATGAATAATGAAAGACTTTACTTAAAATATTCTGACTCTTGATTTTTCCTTTCTTTCTTTCCTGCATTACAGTTTCAGATTGGAGAACTGGCAAATACCCTGACAAGTAAATTTGAGTTTTTAGGCATTAGTAGACAGTCCATCTCCAACTTTCATGTGCTGCTTTTACAAACTGAGGTAATTAAGCCATTCTTAATATTTAACAGTCAGGGAAAAAAAAAAAAACAGTGTTTGAATGAAATGCTTTTTGTGTGAGGAATCTGTCTTATTTATGTTTCAATCCTAAATTTAAGTTATTAATCTTGATATATATTTGAACAGCTAACACAGGAAGCAGAACTGTCTTAGCCAAAGAAAAACATAATCATGGAAATAAATAACTGAGAGTTGTGTGTAAGGATGACACTTAACTTCCTTCAATAGGCGTATATTCTAATTTTTTTGTAAGAAACTAAAATTCTATTCATAATGATGAGACCCCCATAATATTTAGTGTACTTTTTAAGTATTAAAGCATTACAGACTTTTTTTTAATTTGGCCTCTCCCTGAGGCCTGTGGAATCTTAGTTCCCCATCCAGGGATCAAACCCAGTTCCTCGGCAGTGAGGAGGAGGGGGTCATAGCTGCTGAATTGCCGGGGAATTCCCGTAGACTTACTTAAAAAGCTCCGAATCCTGTGTGTGACCTGTGTACTTTACAGTAAGTAGCAGGTTAGGATTAGGCAAGGAATTCCTATAGGAAGTTGACTGATTTCCCTAAGAACTACACCTTTAATTCTGATTAATCATATGTGCGTGCTCGGTTGTGTCTGACTGTCTCTGGCCCCATGGACTGTAGCCTGCCACCAGTCTCCTTTGTCCATGGACTTTTCCAGACAAGAATACTGCAGTGGGTTGCCATTTGCCTCTCCAGGGGAGCTTCCCGACCCAGGGATCAAACCCACGTTTTTTAAGTCTCCTGCGTTACCCTGCAGAACTTTTTTTTTCTTTTAACCACCAGCACCACCCGGAAAGCCCAGTTTATTTATTTATTACATTACTTGACTGAATCAAGTATCTACCCCAAACATAAAGTTACTGGGGAACCATTTTAACATAGTTCACAGGGAAAAACAAAACTACTGCTATTCATTTTCACAGATGTTGGAGCTTTGGCTGTATTGGGTTCCAGTCTCATTTTCCAGAACTCTACAGAGCAAACAAGACTTTTTATGAAATTAGGATGGGACTTCTCCTCTTTGGTCCATTCTCCTGCCAGAGTATATAGTCATGAACCAGAAGACTTAAGTCCCTTTTCCTCTTCCTTTTGACGTAAGAATAAGTCTCTAACCTACGCTGCTCTTTGATTTTAGACTCGGATTGCTGACTGGCGGGAAGGGGCTCTTAATGGAAACTACCTTAAACGAAAACTTCAGGATGCCGCAGAACAGCTAAAACAATATGAAATAAACGCCACTCCTAAAGGCTGGTCCTGCCACTGGGACAGGTACGCACTCTTCTCCCCTTTTCACCTTTCACCTTTGACATCTCAGACTTGATTTGTGATCACCACCACCTGACGACCTGACAGCCTGTTTGGAGCCTTGAGAGCAGCGGCCTTAGCGGCGCTGGGCAGGCAGAGCTCCGCGACCACGCACAGAGCGTGGGCCAGCCACACGGCGGAGAGACAAACGCAGTGTTCACAGTGTGCCGTGTAACGGATTTTTTCCCAAGATCGGACCACGCTGGTTTTTACTCCAGAGCGTTGTTGCACGGAGTAGGGCGGGCTTGGGGGTTAAGCGCATGCGAGAGCTCTGTGCGCTTTACAGGACCTCTGGAAGCAACTACTCCTGATTAACCTCGGTGAAGTTAAGGAAAGCTTCGTGGCTGAAGATGTGAATGAAGAACAAGATTACTATCTTCTGCCAGCAGGTCAGATGAAAACATTTCTTTTTATATTTGGCTTTTCTTGATTTTTTTTTTTCGTTATTTGAAATCTTTGCTCTTTTATTTTTCAGCTCCCAGATCCTCTCCCTCTCTTTAGCTTTCACTGTGTTTGATATCAAGAGTATGAAATGTGAATTCCACGGTTCAAGAGGGGAAGAGTCACCTTTCGCAAACTTCGTTGTTCTCTTCTTTGGAAGGGAACTTAGTGTTCTAGGAGATTGAGTCCCTTCACTAATGAAACTTGAAAACCCTGTTAAACATTGGCAAAAAAAAAAAAAAAAAAACCAACATGTGAGAGGTGTTTTTCTAAGTCATCTGTTGGAGTAAGAGGGTTCAGGGCTGTATTCACAGAGCTGCTGGCAGTGCAAATAGCTTTGAATTATCCTTGGTTCTCCATCCTCAGTTGTCAAAGCTCTTTGTTGCCTTTGTGAATAGCAGTCCATTAAGAAGCGGTTCGTCCCTGTGAGAGCAGACTGCTGTCCTGGGACAGGACCAAATGGAAGTGTCTTTGTAGGAAAATGGGTCTTAAAACATGTGTTTTCTTTCTTGTAATTTAGGGATCATAGACGATATTTCTATGTAAACGAACAGTCGGGCGAGTCTCAGTGGGAGTTCCCAGATGGTGAGGAGGAAGAGGAAGAAAGCCAAGCCCAAGAAAGTAGAGACGAGACTCTTCCTAAGCAGAGCTTGAAAGACAAAACTGGCACTGATTCAAATTCTGCAGAATCTTCTGAGAATTCCACAGGTGGGACCATGTACCTGGTATTAACTGGAAAGAGATGATTGTAGAGGAGGAAAAAAAAGACTTGTATTAACATATAAAGGAAGAAAGTATAGTCGTGAATTTCTAACTAAAAAAATTAGCACAGGGTTTATACTGAGAAACTAAAGGTAGTGTTAGTCGGAAATAAGCATATTATTGATACCATACTCTGCTACAAAATAAAATTATGAACCAGTGTATTGTGACTTTAAAATTCTATCCTGTAACTATTCTGTCATGCCACAGACAGCTGTGGATTTCCAATAACAAGAATTCTAATTAATGGTAAAGAATTGGATATTTAAATTGTCAGTGTTTATGTGGAGTAATAAGAGATATGTTCTGCCTTTTTATAAAATATTTAGTCTGTTGACTTTGCAACCTCATGTTTTTACTCCACTAGTCTCCTAGGAAGTATGTTTGTTACAAACCAAAATGATGTGAATAAACACTGTGAAACTAGGACCATTCTTGTTTCAGAGAAGCAAAATAATTGATCGTTGCAAGTCATCTATTCTAGTATAATCAAGATGGCTCAGTCCAGTTAAAGTACTCTTAAGGAACTTCAGTTTGGTTATACAAATTTTAAAAAGAAAGATTTAATAGTTTCTCGGTTACTCTGAGAATCTGAGGAGCCATCACTTGATTTACACATTATGGGAGAAGACACTTTTTTTTTTCTCTAAGTCCATCTTTCTTGGAATGACAAAACTAAGTAGAAAATGAAGCATAGTCAGGTCAAGACTGTGGTGAACAAACAACCTTTTGATCTGAAAAACTTAGATATTTGTTTAAATACTATCACATTAAGGTAAGAGTGTATGGAATGGTTTCTAAAGTCATAAACTTTGGGGAACTATATTTGCTATTATGTAATAACCTATGATGGAAAAGTATGAAAAATATGTATATAACTGATTAAGTCTTAAACCGTTGAGGATAAAAAGAAATTTTTTGTAAGATGGGGAATAAAGAGCTGTATTCTCATGTCCTCTGCCTATCAAAAATGATGTTTTTATAGTCTGCTGGCTCCCCAGTCCCAGTAGAAGAGTTCTGATTGTATGCCAGATGAAACTGGGCATGTACCAGTGGTTTTGTTAACTTAAGTAACCTAAGAATCCTGAGAATCCCTATCAAGTCACTCAAGGTAAAAAGACATGAATGACAGCAGTGATAATTTTAGAACATAGGAAAAAAAGCAGTATTCTACTTCATATTTCAGGGGAAAAAATATCTTGTTACAAGGTATACCTTTTCATGAAGAGATTTTCTTTAGATTACTTCTTCATTCTTTGGGTAGCAATGATAGATATATCTAGTAACTTGGTTTTCTTTTTTTACTTTTTAGTAGTTAGTGAACTGAAGAGATTTGATGGTGTTTCTGGTTTGGTGATTCTTTTCTTGACCACTGTTTAATGTCCTTTTGTATGTATTCCAAAGCTGAATATTCTAGAATTGCCAGTGCTGAGTGTTGTGTGAATACATTAGAGTTAAATACTTTTTTCTCACTTTGTTGATGACACACACAGTTGGCTACTATATGGTCAAGGAAAATGCCACTGGTAAAACAGCTTATATTATTCTGTTGAATATATTCTCAGTCTCTTGATTAGGAACTACTAAAACCATACGAAAAACGTGATCTAAATAAAATCCAAGTCTTGTACTGAGGTCTTTGGAATTGGAGAGCAATGCCAATCGTTATTTTAAGCCTATAAACAAAGTTGATAATGTATGCTTTCTGTCAACCCAACAATGGTTAAAATCATCTTTTAATGTAGAAAAACTCCACTGAGGAGTAAGGAAGTTTCACAGTTTTGCTAATTTTTAATCCTTGTTCATTGTTCCATGTTTGAACTTGATATTATATATCTAAGATAAGCCAATTTCAGGGTATCCAGTATATTTGAGTGTTGGGCTTTTGTCAGGTTAAAGCAGGTTTCTGCTGCTTAACCAAAAAGTCTCCATGGACCTATTATTTGTATAATAGCTTCTTGATTTAAACTGATAAACTGCCCTCTTGCCTCAAAATACTAAGCAGTAATACTTTTGAGGGAAATATAGGAAAACAATAAAGGAAGCCTGCCTTTGTAAGAGAGCAAGATTGCCTTTCTGTTTATATAGAAATGAAGATGCATAGAAAAACATATGTTCTTGGGGAATTAAAAATTTGTATCCCCACAGGATTCTGTCTTTTAGCTTAATACTTTAAAAGTTTAGTGAAGTGTTAGTTGCTCAGTCTTGTCCGACTCTTTACGACCCCATGGATTGTATCCCGCCAGGCTTCTCTATCCATGGAATTCTCCAGGCAAGAATACTGGAGTGGGTTGCCATTCCCTTCTCCAGGGTCCTTCCTGACCCAGGGCTCGAACCTAGGTCTCCTGCACTGCAGGCGGATTCTGAGCTATCAGGGAAGCCTGAAAGCTATGTATGTACCATTTCAGTCTCCCCTTGGACTTCAGACTTGATGTTCTCGTAAATGGCAAGTGCACCTACTGGGTTAGATTTAAAAATGAAGAGGGGCATTATGTAATACGACATCCATGGATATTCAAACTAGCATTTCTTGGAAGTTTTTATATTTAAGCTAAAGAAGATAATTATCAATGTTAAAACACAGTTTTTATGTTTTGAATAAACTTAGTTTAGGATTCAAACATTAACTGTAAAAGTGCTCCTTGTGTGATCTAAATTTATCCAGTCTAGTGTGTTTCATATTTACGCAGAGTTCAGTTATTGCTGATTAAAACTTTGTTGAAGGTTGTAAACCACGTTGTTAATCTTAAACATACTGTGTTTCCTTGATTTCTTCTACATAGCACTTTCACCATCATAAAAGTATCAGTGCTGCATTATGCTTCTACATGAGAAACCTACTAATATATAAATCTGACACATTTATATACCTACCACATATTGTGGTTGGTTTAGTAAAAGGAAGTTTAATAAGCTATAATCCCCAGTGTTTATTACCTTAGTTCTTATGTAATCTTGATGTGCTATAATGTAGTAGACTGCTTGCCCATACTCAGACTGTCTAAAAGTTAGTGTAAATATTTGTGTTAGATACGGCACAATGTAAAGGTTAATGAGACCTTTGAAGTCTTGTAGCTAGAAAACTGCAGTCTTGTTTTCTGGTGAATTTTTTCAGTTCCCTTTTCCTTGGTAGTAAGCAGTTTCTTAATAATTAGAATAGTCATGTGAATCATGTTCTTGAAGTCTTTTACATAATGTATCTGTTCCATAAAAACTGAAGCTGGTCTAAAAGCCTAGTGGTTCACAGTTGCTTTAGTTTTACATTGTTGAGTGCCAGTGTGGTGTATTTTGTGCAAAGTAAGGTAAAAGGCCTTATCTTTATTCTGGAGCCTTTTATGATAAGAGTCCTTAGTTAAGCTGCTGCTTTGACCATGACATTTGACAGGTGACAGCTTCTGGCCTCCGCTCCACGAGAACAGTAGGGAATCCCCTGGTGGCCCAGTGTTCAGGGTACTGGGCTCTTAACGGCTGCGGCCTGGGTTCAGTTCCTGGTGGAGAAACTGAGATCCTGCACGTAAGCCTTACAACGTTAGCAGAAAAAGTAACACTAGACTAGGGGGCAGACCTGGCCACAGAGAGGTATATTCTTGGGCAAGTCATTTCCCTCCTGGGTTTCATTACCTTTAAAGAGAAAGGGTTAAACTAGATGATTTCTCATGTCTCTTCTACTCCTAAATTCTATGATTTTTAGGGAGAAAATCCCCTTCAGCATTCCTGGGATATATATCTAATAGTCCCAAATAATGTGAAACTTCCCTATTGACGATAAAGAGGGATGGGGAAGGCTACAAGTAAGTATATCTTCCTATTTTCTCTAATCTTTAAAGCTTTTCCCGGCAGAGAAGGGACAGTAATTAACTATGACTTTTGCAGCTTTTGAGGAAAGCAAACCTTGCAACTCCTTAGCTCTCATTTATTCAGCAGCAATTTCAAATTCTCCACATCTTCAGACAACTCTTTTCTGGGTTATATTTATTATTAATCATCATTTACCTTGAGGATTCATTCTCTCTAATTTCCCCTTTATCATCACTGAAATAAAAAATTACGCTCCAGGATTTGTTGCTGTGATTTAGCAAATGAGTAGTTCACACAAAGATGTGAAGGAATGATAAGGTTGACAATATCACCTTGCAAATGGATTTTTTTAAGCTTGGTATAAACCCAGATTAATTGAAATGGGTAGAATTTGTGTGAGTGTTTTGAATGGGTGCTTCTCTAGGTAATCCTTAATCACTTACCTGGCTCACTAAAAATAAAACATGTGGAATTAATATTGCAAATGCGCATCATTCACTCACTTTTTCACTTTTGAGATAAAGAAGACCCAGAATACTGCCTTCTCTAGTTGTGTATCTTTGAAATAAAAAAAAAAAATTTCCGGTTTAGATGATTTGAGTTTCTCTTTGAGTTAATGTGATGTGCCTCATTTACTCAGCCATAAACCTGGACCCAGAAAACAAGACTAGTGTAACACAGCTCGGGCAAGTGCTGACTGTAAAGTCTATGAATTTATCTTTCCTTGGAAGTCATTTTTGAAGTGAGTTTAATATTTCAGTGACATCAGTATAGAACAGATGTCTGGGGGACATGTGTCAGCGTCAGTTCATGGGAGATTTAGTCTTGCTGTTTCCCTGATTCCTATTTGTTTTCATAGGTTCTCTTTGTAAAGAGTCCTTTTCGGGCCAAGTATCTTCTTCATCACTCATGCCACTCACTCCGTTCTGGACTGTCCTTCAGTCAAATGTGCCTGTGCTGCAGCCTCCGTTACCTCTGGAGATGCCGCCCCCTCCGCCGCCACCCCCCGAGTCCCCTCCTCCCCCCCCTCCTCCCCCTCCTCCGCCCGTGGAAGATGGTGAGATCCAGGAGGTGGAGATGGAAGACGAGGGGAGTGAGGAGCCGCCTGCTCCAGGCACGGAGGAGGACACTCCACTGAAACCCGCGGCACAGGCCACAGTCATCACCAGCCAGGTGAGTACCGCCGCTTGGCATTCAGAAGAGTTTGGGGCACTGGGGCGTGATTGATACGTTTTCTTTCAGAAGGAGTTACTTAACCAGAGCCTTTAGCCACTGACTCGAATCTCTTCGTTTCAGAGTTCAGCCGATTCTACCATCTCTAGCTCTCCTTGCACTAAAGCAGTAAAGAGGAAAGCCGCAGAGATGAGCCCTGTTGTGGTTCAGCGGTCAGCCACCATTGGTAGCTCTCCAGTCCTGTACAGCCAGCCAGCTGTGGCTGCAGGTCAGCACTGTGCTTCAAGTGTGTTTCATCAGCATGTTTGTTTCCAGAACTAGATGTCATGAATTAAAGACTTCTCGTTGCAAAGACTGTTTATATGCCATTTCTTTCAGTTATTGAAAACCACTGTTAACAGTTTGACATACATCCTTCCAGATTATTTTCTGTGCATTTACATAACAGTGATTTTTATGTTAAGTACCTTAATGCTAAAACATTCAGAAATTGATGTTTTGCCACCAGAAAATGTGACTAGTTTTTGTTTTGGTTTTTCTGAAGGGGGAAGGTACATTAGAATCATTTTATAGATAATCTAACTCCCACTTTCCTTTTCCTTCTTTTGCTTGTTTTTGGCTTTGTCACAATATCCTTTTTATAAAAGTTTCATTTTATATTTTCTGTGTTAGGTCAACAGGCGGCAGGGGTTGGACACCAGACTGCAGGAGCTGGACACCAAGCAATAGCAGTTAGCCATCCAGCAACAGGAATGGGCCATCAGGCCAGAGGAGTGAACCTGCAGTCAAATTACCTAGGCCTGGCATCGGCTTCTGCACTGATGGGCTATGCTGAATGTTCTGTGCCGATGGCAGTGACCGCTCCCGCATTGCAGCCGGTCCAGGCCCGAGCTGCTGTGCCCACCACTGCCCTTATCGAACCACCTCCCCCTCCTCCTCCACCTCCTCCTCCACCTCCACCTCCACCAGCTCCCAAAATGCCACCACCGGAGAAGACGAAGAAAGGAAAGAAAGATAAGGTGGAGTACATAACTCTTAAAATTTTTATTTAAAAGTTTTGTTCTGTTGAGGTGGTATTTAAAGTTTAAATTCAGTAGTGACATTTAGTATATCCACATTGTGGTGCAACCACCCCCCTCCTGGTTACATAACATTTTCATTACTCCAAAAGAGAGCGCCTGTGCCCATTAGGCAGCCACACCTCAGTACCCCTTCCCCTGGCCTCGGGGGCCTACCCGTCAGCTTTCGATCTCCACCAGGTTACCCACTCTGCAGTGGTGCGTGTGTGAGCTTTAGCGTCTGGCTTCCTTCACTTAGCGCAGTGTTTTCCGGGTTCATCCATGTTGTAACTTTTATCAGTACTTTGTTCTTTTTATGGCTGAATAATGTTCTGCTGTGTGTGTGTACCACAGTTTGCTTATCCATCCATCCTTTGATGGACATTTGGGTTGTTTTATACCTCTTTGTTGTGTAAATATGTGTGTGAGTACATGCATTTTGAGTCTTGTTCCGTTTCTTTTGGGTGGGGGCGGGCTGTGTGTGTGTATTTAGTAGAAGTGAAATTGCTGGAGCACATGGTAATTCTGTTGATAACTCTTGGAGGAACCATTCTCCTGCACTGACTGAGCCATTTTACATTACCACCAGCAGTGTTCAGGGACACTAATATCTCCAGGGGCTCACCAACACTAGTTACTTGCCATTTTCTGAAAGTTACCATACCAATCCTGGCAGGTATGAAGTGGTATCTCATTGTGGTTTTGATTTCTGTTTCTCTAGTGAGTAAGTATGTTCAGCATATTTCATTTGCATCCTTCATCAATGCACTCAGCATGAAGGTACAAAATCTTTTCGGGCCTTTTCTAGGCATATATGTTCCCTGGATATGGACTTGTATGTGGTTGTTTTCCTTTTTTTTCCCCTCCATTCCTCTTGTTTATTTACTTTTAATTTCCCTAAGGATTTCACACTTCTTCTATGAGCTTTTTATGTTCTATTGTATTCCTCTGCACAGAAGCTTTCACCCCAACTGTCCAGATGACTTCTGTCCCCTGTGGTTTTCACAGCCCGCAGCTCCTGCTACTGCCTTTCGTGGGTTCTAACCCGAGATCCAAAATATACCACCATTCCTGGCTGACCTTGAAGTTGGACAATACTGAAACCAGTCCCTAAGGCAACCACAGTCTAGAACATTTCAGACGTCCCACTTACTTCCTTCCACCTGGAGGGAGGGAACTGAGAATTGGGCCATTTTGCTCCAGCCACACTGGGGAGAGCGTGGAACAAGGACAAGCAAACATGCCACAAAGCTTCCTGCTGTTCTTAGTGCAGGTTTTTCTCAACTGGCTGTTCTCTTAGTGGCTGCAGATCTTTGACTGGTTTCTAGAGTTCCCACAAAAACATTTTAGTCCGTTTCTTATTTGTTTATATAATATTTCCATGGGATAAGCAAGAGCTTGGCGCTTCATAGTCTGCCAGCTTTCTGACATCACCCTCTCGGACCCTCTGAATTCCCTAAATCACCTAAAGAAACTTTCTCATCAGCTTTTTCCTTTCCAGTGCTGCTGCTCCACTGTCTCAGCTGTCGTCTTTTGCTCCAGGGGTCAGTGGGGCAAATTCTTTGCTTTACATGGTTGAAGGGACCTTCTTGAAGAAGTTTGACTTACACAAAAAATAAGAGTATTTCTGGATTGACCCACTTATCCAAGCTGGTACATGGTTCCAGAAATTATCTGAAAATGAAGTGTTATAAAAAATCAACAGTGACAGGGTAATGTCTTGAATAGATCATTGTCCAACTAACTGTACCACATGCAGTTCTCCCAAGCCAGCATACAGTTGACCACCTACATGTCTTGTGTTTGTTTACCAGTCCCACTACTGTTCATTCTTTACGTAATCAAGGTTAGAATGTTCAGTGCTCAGGAATCATTTCTCTTGTGAAGCCTTCCTTACCGCTCATCCTTCCGTCTTCCAAGAGAGATAATCATCTCCACCTCCATTCATTCAAGTAATTTTTTAGACAGTCATGCTCTTACGGTTATATAAATAATAGCTTTTAAAATATATATTTACTTACTTACTTGGCTGAGTTGGTCTCAGTTGCGGCACGTGAGATCTCCATTGTGGCGTGTGAGATCACTAGTTGTGGCACGCGGGCCCAGTTGCTCCACAGCATGTGGGGTCAAACCTGTGTCCCCTGCACTGCACAGCAGATTCCCAATCACTGGCCCATCAGGGAAGTCCCTAAATAATAGTTTCAAAAATCTGGTATTCTGCGTTAACATGTCGTTTTTATGGACTTGAAAGCAGTGATTCATCTCTTTGGTGTTACAGGCAATTTTTTAAAATGCAAGATATGTACTTACTTGAAATACCTGATTTCAAGAATATCTGAGACCTATATATTTTTTCAATCTTTTTGCTCATGTTTTGTGTCCCGTTTACTAGAAAAAAAGGACTTCTAGCCGTTTAATCTTTTCCTCTGACTTCAAGTTTCCCCTATTAAAAATGTGTTCAAACAGCCAGTGCAGCTCTGGATCCATGGTTTTGGACATGACAATGAATGCTTGACTTCTAAAACATAACTTACTTTCCCATGACAGATAGGAATCAAATACACTTCGAATTTACAAAATCGTATGGAAGTCAAAATGAAACCACAATGACTCTACCTAGATCTGTGTTGTTTCTAATCATATTTGCAGAAATATGGTGATAGGTTGTACTGCAGTGAGCCCTCTATGCATAGTGACCATTATTCTCATTCCTTTTTACTCAGTTGGTTGCATTCTAATCCAGAATAGGTTGTGTTTGGAGCTTACTGGAAGGGTGTGTATGCAGTGAGTCAGATTGAACCACAGGTGAAATAACAGAATGGAATGTGGGAAGGTGTGTGGAGCAGAAGGCTTAAGCATTTTACATGGGCATTTCCCCAAAAGGTTAAAAACCTGTTATTGATAGTCAGAATAGGGTATTGATCCAGGGAGCCAAGTAATTTTAAAAGACTGAAAAGATTAAGCTTGTTTTCCTAACTCTTGGGTGGTTAATCACGGAGTGTGTTTGTTTTAACTGCAGGCTGGGAAAACAGCTTGGGCCACTGTCCGTAGACCTCTAAGAGCGCAGCACTCCCTCCTACCTGCCACTCGAGGGCCTGCTTGTCATACTTAGAGTGTGACTCGGCCAAGTCTTCAGAAACGGAGGGGTGAAAATCAGTTTTTATCAGTGTCTAATATAGTGTTCCTCTAAATTCAAAGAACTAATCACAAATATTAGGTTTATTTTGAATACATACTATCTGTCAAGTATTCTCTCAAGAGCTTCATATTCAGTAACTAACAAAATCTTTGCTTTTGTGGAGCTTTTCTGGTGGGCTTGGAGAGGGTAGGGGGCAACTGGGTTGTAGAAACAGATAAGCAAATATATGTTCAATGTTTAAAAATGTAATGAAGAAAAAGTGTCAGGACTGAAAGGGAGTGGGCTTTGGGAGGCGGTAGTGTTTCATATAGTGTGGTCAGAGAAGGCATCTTTGCTAGAGTGCCATTGATGAGAACTCTGAAGGTAGTGATAGAGCAAGCCATATTGTATATGTATCAAATATCACAAGGCTTTTTTCTTAACCGTGAGATTCTGTATTTATTATAGGCAATTTAGAAACTGAAGGTAAGCTAATAGGACAAAACTGAACTGTACATAGTATCTTCTCTTAGAACTGATCTGATAATTAATGTTTTAATATTCCTCTTTGCTTTTTTTCATATTTAGTAGTCACCTTTGACTCTGTTGCTCTTTCCAGAAAAGCTGATCATTTGTTTCTCAGCACTATGTTTCACTTGATGCGAACACTACATCCATTTAAACTCGTAAAAGGGTACATTGTAATTCTGAGCAGATAAGAGCAAGAGTTTTGAATTCCATAGAATAAGGCTAAAGAAAATTTTTCTGACCTAATTTCATAAAATACCCCATTTACAGAAGGAGGGGACACGTGTATACCTATGGCCAGTTCATGTTGCCGTATGGCAAAAACCATCACAATGTTGTAATTATCCTCTGACTAAAATAGTTTCTGCCTTGTTTTCTTAAGAAAAAAATATCCCATTTACAGTTATTTTTGGAAAAAATTTAGAATGGTATTTGTGTTTGGTTAATTTTGAAGTTCACGTACTCCTTAGAACTAAGGAAGAGATCTTGATCTCATGTGAGGGACTTGTTCTCTTGTTTTATGTATTATATTCCTTCTGACCTTTAACCTTTGTTACAGGCAAAGAAAAGTAAAACCAAAATGCCATCTCTGGTAAAGAAGTGGCAGAGTATCCAGCGTGAGTTAGATGAGGAGGAAAACTCTAGTTCCAGCGAAGAGGACCGAGAATCCACCGCACAGAAGCGCATTGAAGAGTGGAAACAGCAGCAGCTGGTCAGGTAGAGGGAACGAGATCCCCGGTGGGCAGGTTGTGGTGCTCGTCGCTGTGACTTCAGAACCAGTGTGTTCTCCGAGTGTCGCTTCTGTTTTATTCACGGTGCTGGGCCTCCTGCTGCAGCAGCTTTTCTCTAGCTGCGGAGTGCAGGGGCTGCTCTCTACTTGCCGTGTGCGGGCTTCTCCTCGCGGCGGGTGCTCTTGTTGCAGAGCACGGGCTGCGGGGCACGCAGGTCTCAGGGGTTGCAGCCCCGGGTTCTAGAGCACAGCTCAGTAGTTGCGGTGCACAGGCCTAGTTGCTCTGCACCATGTGGGATCTTCCCAGATCAGGGATTTGAACTCCTATCTTCTGCACTGGCAGCCAGATTCTTCATCACTGAGCAACCACAGAAGCCCCCATGTTCTTAAAGTCATAGCCCTGATTCCTTTACAGACTTACCCCAAACAGTTTTTAATTCATAGAAATGTTTTTTTTCCTATAAAAATTATAGTCTAGCTTTTTTCAAAGACATCAGAGTTGTAATACTTGGCACTAACTGTTCATCTTAGGCAAAAAACTGTCTTAACCCTGAGCACACAGGGGAAAATAGTCATCCCCATTTACCATGTTGCTCCAAGAGACCAACTTTTAATTTAATAAGAATTTAAATATAGCTGACCTAAGTTTCTATTCTTTATTTTCATGATTTTTGAAGGTGCACACACTGAATGAGCAGCATTCTTTTTTAGTGTGACCAGTCGCATCACCTGGAACACACTGATAGTGACGCCAGATTTCAGGTTCATCTCCGACAGGTTCCAGCGTATCATTACTTCTGCTTCTCGCACTTGCAACATCCATAAATGCAGTACTTATAGAAATGTTTGAGGGAATTCCCTGGCAGTCCACTGGTCAGGATTTTGCACTTTCACTGCTGAGGGCCCAAGTTCAGTCCCTGGTCATGGAACGATCTCGCATGGTGTGGCAAAACAAGAGACAATAACCATTGTTATTGAGAGACAATAGCCATCTTTGCTTCATAATTCAAAACATTTTCATTTTTAGATCCATAAACACCAATTGGAATAGCCATCCAGTGAAATTTTTGTTCCTAAAATATGTTTCTGTCTAGCCACTGCACACCTGTTTTTAGCATTTGTCCCGCTTATGAACTTGATCAAATAAGTTTTAGCATCAGTTCAGTCGCTCAGTCGTGTCTGACTCTTTACAACCCCTTGCATTGCAGCACACCAGGCCTCCCTGTCCAACACCAACTCCTGGAGCTTACTCAAACTCATGTCCATCGAGTCGGTGATGCCATCCAGCCATCTCATCCTCTGTCATCCCCTTCTCCTCCTGCCCCCAGTCCCTCCCAGCATCAGGGTCTTTTCCAGTGAATCAGCTCTTTGCATCAGGTGGCCAAAGTATTGGAGTTTCAGCTTCAGCATCAGTCCTTCCAATGAACACCCAGGACTGATCTCCTTTAGGATGGACTGGTTGGATCTCTTTGCAGTCCAAGGGACTCTCAAGAGTCTTCTCCAACACCACAGTTCTAAAGCATCAATTCTTCGGCACTCAGCTTTCTTCACAGTCCAACTCTCACATCCATACATGACCACTGGAAAAACCATAGCCTTGACTAGATGGGCCTTTGTTGGCAAAGTAATGTCTCTGCTTTTTAATATGCTACCTAGGTTGGTCATAACTTTCCTTCCAAGGAGTAAGCATCTTTTAATTTCATGGCTGCAGTCACCATCTGCAGTGATTTTGGAGCCCAAAAAAATAAAGTCTGACACTGTTTCCACTGTTTCCCCATCTGTTTCCCATGAAGTGATGGGAACAGATGCCGTGATCTTAGTTTTCTGAATGTTGAGCTTTAAGCCAACTTTTTCACTCTCCTCTTTCACTTTCATCAAGAGGCTTTTTAGTTCCTCTTCACTTTCTGCCATAAGGGTGGTGTCATCTGCATATCTGAGGTTATTGATGTTTCTCCCGGCAATCTTGATTCCAGCTTGTGCTTCTTCCAGCCCAGCGTTTCTCATGATGTACTCTGCATGTAAGTTAAATAAGCAGGGTGACAATATATAGCCTTGATGTACTCCTTTTCCTATTTGGAACCAGTCTGTTGGTTCATGTCCAGTTCTGTTGCTTCCTGACCTGCATACAGATTTCTCAAGAGGCAGGTCAGGTGGTGTGGTATGCCCATCTCTTTCAGGATTTTCCACAGTTTATTGCGATCCACACAGTCAGAGGCTTTGGTATAGTCAATAAAGCAGAAATAGATGTTTTTCTGGAACTCTGTTGTTTTTTTCGATGATCGAGCGGATGTTGGCAATTTGATCTCTGGTTCCTCTGCCTTTTCTAAAACCAACTTGAACATCTGGAAGTTAACGGTTCACGTATTGCTGAAACCTGACTTGGAGAATTTTGAGCATTACTTTGCTAGCGTGTGAGATGAGTGCAATTGTGCGGTAGTTTGAGCATTCTTTGGGATTGCCTTTCTTAGGGATTGGAATGAAAACTGACTTTTCCAGTCCTGTGGCCACTGCTGAGTTTTCCACATTTGCTGGCATATTGAGTGCAGCACTTTCACAGCATCACCTTTCAGGATTTGAAACAGCTCAATTGGTTTTAGCATACAGCAGCATAAAATGTGAAAACTTACACAAACTTACACAAATACTGTATTTCCTTTTTGACCTATATATTGTTCACTCATTAATCTTGAATTTAAGAAAATTCATCTAGATTATGGTCTTCTTAACACTTGTAGCCTGAGATTTTACTTATCCAGGCAGTTTTTTTTTTTTTATCCAGTCAGTTTTATCATCACAATTTGAATGTACAGTGCTGCTATCTCTTTGTATTCATCTGAATTATATAATATTGGGAGCTGTCCAGGAGGAGACTATGAAGATGTTGTCTCCAGACTTTACTTCCTTGAAAGGTGATGTACATGATTTGGGGCAACACAGGAAGAAAACTGAAGGATGGTATTAATGATGATTTAGTTTTACTTTTGTATCATCTGTGTAGATGACTCCATTATTCTTGAGTTTTCTTACTATTTTAGTCCTTTTTAGTATTGCTGGGAATTGATTAATGATTAATTCCTACAGTGATGAAATAGCAAACTATTTCAAATGATGGGAAGTCACAAAGATCTTGTAATTTATCTTATTTTAGATTTATAAAAGGGTCTCATGCACTCATTTTAGTTATTGCAAGATAGAATCTGAGTTTTGTTTTGTTTTTGCTGCTCCGCACAGCTGGCCGGCTCTTGGTTTCCTGACTGGGCCCTCCACAGGAAAGCGCAGAGAGTCCTGACTACTGTACAGCCAGGGAACTCCCAAGAATCTTGAGTTTGGTTTTTTTGTTTGTTTTTTTAAATCATAGCATACTATGTGGTTTACCTATGAACAGATAGCATATTGTTGTTGTTTAATACCTAAGTCTTGTCCAACTCTTACTACCCCAACTTACTTACTGGACTGTAGCCCGCCAGGTGAATCTTGAGTTTTAATCAGTTTTTTAAATAATTGAATTTTAATAAGCTGTGAGAGATCAATGGTAGGTAGAACTAATGAAAAGAGGATCTCAGAAGCATTAGGTCTGCCCATCCCTGGTGGTATGTTCAGGGTTAAATATATCTTCTTAGAGGTTAAGTAAATAAATCTAGGATAAAGACTCCTAACTCCTTGGAGCCAAGAAATACTTCTACAAGCATGTGTTATTTTCCTTCAGTGTAGCTTTAATGGTTACTGGGGAGACATAAAAATAAATATGCACTTACATATAAATAGAACTGTAGAGCAGAGTATTTTGTATGTGTTTGGTTGACCTATCAATTAAGAAATTTGATGAAAACTATTCTGGTACTCAGCTGAGAAATTTGAAACTTTTTCATGAAGATAGATATGATAGATCCAATTTTCAGGTTTAGTTAGTTTTTGTTTGCTAGGAAATGAACAGTTCCATCCTTTTTTTTTTTTTCAGTGACGTAATCTGTATGTTGTTTTCACAGTGGCATGGCAGAGAGAAATGCTAATTTTGAAGCTCTTCCTGAAGATTGGCGAGCAAGACTGAAGAGACGAAAAATGGCTCCAAACACATAGTTTTTTTACTTTTTTGTTACTGTGTACTGGTTTTTTTTTTAATGTTCAGTTCAGAGTCTTAACCAGTTTTACTGTTGTCAGTAAACTATAAATGTTATGAGGGAGAGCATATGAATTTCCTAGGCAAGAGCATACAAAATTCCCACATTTGTGAAGTGTAGTTTTTCTGTTTTGCCAAAAGGTAAGGTGGTTGAACCATTTGACCTGGCTGCCTGTATTCTTACACTGGCAAACTCAGCATGTTAGGTACATTATCCTCATCAGTCTGGATGTGTGGCTCAATGACACTTGTGTAGAGGACTCACTGATGAAAAGGGAAGGATTTTCCTGCCTAATAGAGGCTCTTGTAGTTCCTAGTGTGGCGCGCTCTCTCTCATTAACTTCTTCAGAACAAGTGCAATTAAGAAGGCAGCTCTGTACTCTACCTTGCTTAACTGGGATTATAGGAATTTCCTTCTGACCTCTTCCTCTTAGTCTGCCACCCCCGAAGTGCTGAGCTTTACAAACTCGTTCATGTCGTGCTAACAGACAGCCACACTCTATAATTATAGAGTATTTCTCACAAATTCTAGAACTGATAAAGATAGCTCAGTCATTGCACATACTAGGTGACATATATAAATTTCCGTATATAGCAGCAGCAGCAGCAAGTGTTCCTGTCTCTGAGACTTCTCCCTCACACGTGGAAGTAAATGTAACGAGCCACTGTATGTATTGCTGTGTCTCCATTGCCGTACCTTGGTCCAAAGTTCACCTCCCATTTATATGTGAATGTATTCTCCATAAAATTCCAGTATTTAAAAAAGCAGTTTACTGTCCTGTACTTTCTATTGTATCACAATCAGGTAAAAGTCACTTTAAACTGAAGAAAAAGCAAATTGTGTTTTAAAGCTGTTTGTATTTCTCCAGTTTCTGACCTTGTAAATTTGTATATATGCACTAATAAAGCCTTTTTTATACTTCTGATTGGTTATCCTTTTGCTCCTGTTTTGCCTGTTACTCCATGAAGATGTCACCAAGACTTTAAATAAGTCGTTTTTTCTAATCAAGTACGGTGTAAGGCAAACATTGAAGAAGCTCTCAGAAGAAAGAGTGTCAGGATCTTGAGCCCATTGCAGGGTGGGAGGATGGAGTTAGAAAAACAGGACTCTAGTACCAGAAAATACAATGTGACTTAAGTTTTGGAGCTTGTGGTCTATGATATTAGCTAGTATTTAGCCTACTTAAATCCTGGAAATGACAAAATGTGGTTAATATTCTGGAAAAAAAACAAAGGTGATTTATACTCTCACTAGCTACAAGAGTTACATATACTCATAGTCCTGTATACTCATAGTCTGTCAAGTTAACCAAAGACAACAGTAGTTAGTTTTATTCCAGTATATTTATATGCAGCTAACTGCCTAATCAGTGTCATGTATACTTGTGTGTTGGTTTTTATTTATACAAAAATCGGGGTGACCATTTTGTATATAAATTGTTTTGTCATTTGCATAGAGCACATTTCTGGGGAAAAAAAAGGCTATTGACTAGTCGTTAAAGCTTTTGCTTTTAACTACCTAACAGTTACCCAGATTTCTAGGAATTGTTGACAGGGACTAAGTGCTTTGTCCCTATCCTGCCAGACCAGAAGCATTTTTTTGAATCTGACAATTTGATAGTCAAGGTGTGGGTTTTACTTTGTTTTCTTGTATTTTTCAACGCAGAAGGTAATTTTTCAATTCTAGCTATGGGATGGAGGAAATATAAGGTGAAAGAGGAGAAGCAGCTCCTTTTGAGCAATAAATACCAACAGTTCTTAGAGCTGAGAAACAGCTTCTTTTTTTTTTTTTTTTCCCCCCCTTTTTGGCTGCCCCATGGAGCATGCCTTAGCTACCAGGGATCCCACCTGTGCCCTGCAATGTAAGCGCGGTCTCTCATTAAATCACTGGACCGCCAAGGAAAGGAACAGTGGAAGTATTAGTTGCTCAGTTGTGTCTGACTCTTGAGCCCCCATGGACTGCAGCATGCCAGGCTCCTCTCCATGGAATTCTATAGGCAAGAATGCTGCAGGGGGTTGCCATTTCCTTCCCAGGATCGCCAAGGAAGCCCCCATCAATGCAATTTCTAATCCCCAGAATCCGGGCTGCAATACTGTAATGAAAAGAGTAAGAATTCGGACTGCGATACTGTCATGAAAGAGTAACAAAGTAACAATCCGGGCTGCAATACTGTAATGAAAAGAGTAACAACAAAGCTTTGGTACTGCAGTCTTCCGCTTTCCCCTGGTTCCCCACTCCCTCCCTCGGAGGCAGGGCCTCGCTCCCGGAAGCGCCAAGCCGCCCCGCCTTCCCGCTTCCGGCTCGCGGTTGCTATGCTACCGGCGTCCCAGCTGAAAGCTGTGGCTCGGCGAGAGCTCCGCGAGCGCGTCCTCGGCCGGGTGCGCGGCGGGGCCTCTGCCTGCGGGTGGTGACCCCCCTCCCCCCCGCACCGCCTCACTCAGGCTCCTCCGTCGCGGCCGGCTCCGCGCCCAACCCCTGCTGCCCCGGACAGTCCGGGGCGCCGAGGCGGTGGCAACCTTCCCTCTGGCCTCCCAGGAAATTTCGCCCCATCCCTCGACTCTCCGGGAAACTGCCCTCCACCACCTTCTCCCTGACTCGGAAACCCGGAAACCCTGAATTCCGTTTTCTGAGCCCCTGACCTTTCTTTTCCCACCCGCCCCGAGACGACTCCGCTGGACTCCCCTCCCCTTTTCTTTCACTCTCCAGCGGCGTCCTGGTGGTGGGCATCCCCCTCAACCCGGAGAAGAAGCATGGAGCCGGCAGGGGTCCTGGCGCCTCGGGAGGAGGAGGTCGGAAGACTGACCGCCCTCCCAGATTCCTCAGGTGCCCACCCGGGCCTCATGGCGGGCCCTGGTTTACCTGATGAGAGGTTGGGTTGGCAGGGAAGAGGGAGCGGTGCCGCGTGGGAGCTGCGGAGCGGAGGGAGGGGACGGGAGTGACTGTCGATAGGTGACTCCAGTTGTCCTGCTCTGGTTTATTTTAGCTCCTCCTATGTAATCAACTGCCCTTTTGGAAATTGGGCAGGGGCTGTTGCTGGATGCGGGTGTCACTGACTGTCTTCAGCATACCATGCAGAAGTAACATGTTCCCAGCATTGGAAACAGAGCTAAAGCAGGAGGTCGGTAGCCACCCCTCTCCAGAAACCCGGTACTAGCTCAGAAGGCATATTCTGGTGGCACCTTTTTCTGGCTAGAGATCTTGATCCCAAAGGTAGAATAATTTGCACAAATGTCTTTCACATGGTTTGTTTTTAGAAGTTCTCAGGTGTGGCATCTTCTGAGACCATGCTTGTGTACCTTTGTTAAGAGTCAGTATTACTCTTACAGGCTGTAATAATAATGATTATTATGAAAACATTTTCCTGATTGAGATGGTCTGTCCTTTCACAGACTCTTCCTGATCCCTATGAAGACTTTATGCGCTATCACCTCCAGTACTATGGCTACTATAAAGGTAATACCTCGTTCTGATCCAGCATCACCTTTCCTGGGTCATTGAAGTAAATTGTTGGGTCAACTTAGAGTTGTGCTTGGATAAACTGATGTCGAATTTTTTGAGCAGCGTTAATGAAAAGTACTTCCTTTCCCCACTGATATGCTCTGTCACTTGTGTTGAGTGTCCATTTATACAGAGGTCTGTCTGTTTGTCCTTGAACCAGTACCACCCTTTCTTAATGACATGACATGGCATTGAAATAGTCTTGATATGTGGAAAGAAATGTCCTCCCATATTGTCATTTTCAGAAGTGTCTTGGCTAACCTTACCTTTTTATATAATTTTAGAATTGGCATGTGATGCTTTTAAATATATGGGATTGCATTTAATCTATAGATCAAACTTGACAAGAAATGAGAATTTTCCAATAGCACATTCTCCGATCTATTAATAGTATTTTCTAATTCTCTTAATTCGCTTAGGTCCTTCTTAATGTCTTCCAATAAGATTTATAAATTGTTTTCATGAAACTGTTTATGTGTATGCTTTTATAAGTGGTATCTTAAAATTTTGATGTTCTAACTTTGTTCTTGGTATTTAGAAATAAAATTTAGGTTTTTGTACTGGTTTTATTTCTGTCTTGTTAAACTTTCTTGTTACCTGTTTCATTTGGTAAGTGATCACTGACTTGTTGAAAACCGAATTCCCGGGCTTCCAGATTCAGCAGAGCCCTCAGACAAAGCACCCCCCACTCTGAGTGCTTCACTCCCACTCCGAGGACTTGCCCTGACTCGGCCGTAGAACTGCTGATTTCTTTCTGCCTCCCCTGGCCCTTAATTTCTGCTTCACCATATGCCTCTCCAGTCTTCTCCTGAACATGAAATGGAGAAAATTATACATTTAACTCACATAAGTTGAAACGTGAAAGCTCTTTGGAAAATGGGTTGTAAAGGCCTGTGGTGTGGCAGGTGGTGACTAGAAGGAAGTTTCCTAGTAGTAATTGTTTGGTTGTTGACCCCGATGTTGGATGTGACGAACTAGCCTTCAGCATCTTTCACTAAACTCCCTGTTCTTAGCTCAGAGAGGCAGTTTACCAAACTCTGCTACGCACCAGCATGTTTGGAAGAATAATCCTCGATACCTGTTGAGTGGCTCTTTTGGAAAAAGAGAGGATTTGACACCGAACCGCTTGCAAAAGGAGAAGCGTCTATGTGAGTAGTACTCAGTGTCCTATGGCCCTGGAACCTTGGTGCCTTGAGCAGCTGCTCCGGGGTCGAGGAGAGCGTGGCCTAGCATGGGAGAAGCCGGGGAGCATCCTTGGACACTGTTTCTGACATCACTCAGAAGTGTTCTATCTTAAAAAAAGAGAAAGGTTTTAAATGAAAAGAAAAACAACAAAACAAAACAAAATATTCTGTAGATGTGCTTTGGATTGTAGGTTTAAACTACTGTGCATTCTGCATGGTCTTCCTCCAAATTGTTGGAAAATTTGTTAAAACTCTTTGGTCAAGAGTAACACGTTGATTTTTTTCATGCAGTTTTGATGGATATATTTATTAAGGCTCTTTGCATAGGAGTGGTGGAAACCAATCCAAGCTAACTTAAGCAAAAACAATTTTTTACAGGGATTCCACGAGTTTTTTCTAGAATCCAAGGGTAGGAATGCAGTTGAATTTCTCCCTCAATACATATCCAACCAAACATCAATTCACTTCCCTTTACTGCACGTCCTTCTCCCATGCCCCTTCCGCACCCCAGCCACCATCATCTCACTATTGAAACAGCCTCATCATTGGTCTCTGGCTCCATGATGCCCTCTTCCAATCCACTTTCCACACAGCGGTGGTTTTTTTTTTTTCCTGTTTATGTGCAAATCTGATTGTATCCCTTTTCTAGTTAAAAATCTTTGAATGATACAAGACCCAAAAGCCATAAAATAGAACACTGATAATTTTTACAGCAAAACCTTATGTTTAGAAAAAAGTTCCATTAGTAAAGGAAAATAACTGAAAAAAATGTGAGAAATATGTCAAAGGATTAATTTCCTTAACAAAATAACTTACAAGTCAATAAGCAAAAGATGACCAAATAGAAAAATGGACAAAGAGCACGAGCAAGGAGTTCGTAGAAAAGCAAACAGTCAATGCAACATGCACCCCCCACGTTGGGGGGTGGCTCAGTGGTCAAGAATCCGCCCGCAGTGCAGGAGACGCAGGAGATGCCGGTCTGATCCCTGGATCAGATCCCCTAGAGGAGGAAATGGCAACCCACTGCAGTGTTCTTGCCTGGGACGTCCCATGGACACAGGAGTCTGGTGGGCTACAGCCCTAGGGTTGCAGAGGTGGACACGACTGAGCACACAGGCATGTCCAAGGATTAATTTCCTTAACAAAATAACTCTTACAAATCAATATAGAAAAGATGACCAAATAGAAAAGATGGACAAAGGACATGAGCAAGGAGCTCATAGAGAAGCAAACACAGTCAGGAAGCTTTGTGAAAAGATGCTCAATTTCACCCCTAATTAAAGATATAAATCAGTATATCAAAGTATCATTGTGTAAATTATGAGACTTGGGCAAAAATATTTTTATGATTATACCTAGTAGAAGTCAGGAGATGGTAGAACACCCTCCCACACTGCTGTTAGGAATGTGAGTAGATTGACTTTAAAATTTTTATTTATTATTATTAATTTTTTTGACTGTGCTGGATCTTCGTTGCCTCACGGGCTTTTCTCTAGTTGCGCAAACGGGGGGTACTCTCAAGTTGCGGTGCATGGGCCTCTCCCTGTGGGGGTTTCTCTTGTTTCGGAGCGTGGGCTCCAGGGCGGGAGGTCACTGTGGCTTGCGGGCTCCGGAGCCCTGGCTCAACAGTTACGGCCCACAGGCTTGCTTGTTCTGCAGCGTGTGGGGTCTCCCCAGAGCAGGGACGGAGGCGCGTCTCCTGCCTTTCCAGGCGGATCCTTTACCCGGGCCAGCAGGGAGGCCCCAGATGGACTATTTTAGGATGGCGGTTTGGCAATAGGAGGGAAAGGTTACGGTACTTAACCTTTGATGCGGCAGTTCCATTTTCAGGTTCAAATGTGTATCTTACATCTTTGTTCATCCTTCTGCTCCGAAGGCTCTTCCATTCTGTGTCCCAGAGCTCCTGGCAGGGAGTAGAAAGGCAAAGGTTGAGCAAAGAAGACTGTCAGGGCGGGGTGGCTCAAGAGCCAGCCAACCACCCACCTTCAGTTTCCTCCTGTCCCATCTACTGATGCTTGGAATAGCATTGATAAGAAACGGATGCCTGTCTTCATATAGTAAAAAACAAAACAAAACAAAAACCATAAAATGCAAAGCCAGCTACAGAAGTAACACAACAATGCAAATGAATTTTAGTTAGAGTAGAATTGGTAACCTGACACCTTACCACCCCCACCCCCGTTTTGGTCATTGGAGTGAGGAAGATATTTTTTTTTGTCTTTGTAGCAGAGCATTTATTGTGTTGTTTTTCAAACCAGAAAAGTACAAAGGAAGTAAAAAAGAAACGAGTTACAATATACTTGTTTCAAAAAGGAAAAAAGAAGGGAAGAAAGGAGAGAGAGAAAGAAAGAAAATATACATAAAGGTTAGAAAATTCAAACAGTAGAAAAAACACAAAAGGAAATTAAGAGCTCTCCCAGCCCCACCCTTAATATAGCCACTACTGTAATCATTTTTTTCAGGAAAAAATTTATACCCTCAAGTATCTATATATTTTTTCTTTCTGATTGCTCATAGAGGATCCTTTATACTATCTTTACTTTGGCTTTTTTTTTGTTTAATAATAGACGCTTTCCCTAGGAGAACAAAAAGTATCTACCTCATTCTTTTTGAGAGCACCTACCTATTAATTAATACCTATTAATGAGTTTTCCATCTCATTAATATGTCATAGTTATTTTAACTTCCCTTTTGATGGATGCTTTGGTTGTTTGCACATTTTTACTATTTGAGCATTACTGCAGGGAGTAAATCTACATATGTATTCTGGTATCAGAATATGTATTCTGAGCTTTTGTAAGAAAATCTATAAGGTAATTCCTAGCAGCGGGATTGCTGAATCAAGGGTTAGTGTGTTTTAAGTCTTACTGGACACTGCCAAATTTGCTTTCCAGAAAAATTCCACCAAATTTGCCTTGTTGTCCTCAAGTTCTGAGGGTAGTTGTTTACTTATACCCTTGGCAGGGTGAGTGTAAAACAGGTAAATGTTGTTCCTCTCTATTAGCTAAATAACTGATATCTTTGTGTCATTTTGATTTACATTTCTTTGAGTGAGATTGAGTAGCTTTACCATCTTTTCAAATGTTTGTTGCCTCCCCCCACTGCCACCATTAAACAGTGGGGGAAATGTTTAGACATAGAAACGCAGGGACCCAAAGGTGGGGGGATGGAAAGGGATAGGGGAAAAAGGACAGAGGAAAGAAAGATCCGTAGGACAAACCAGGCCTCTTCCTTCCTCTTTCTAGGGCCTACCTGTCTACCTTCAACTCTGCACAGACAGATAGGAGCCATGAGCAGAGGTATCGCACGTGCTTCCACACCAAGAAACGGAAACTCTTCTCCCTGCGCTCCCCACCAGAGCTGGGAGTTACCACCCCTGGAGCCTTTCCTTCCCCCTGCCCTTCCCCCGCATCCTTTCCCCCACTTCCTTCCCCTGCCCCTTCTCCTTGAAACCTTTCTCTTCCTCCCTTTTTTCCTCTTCTTTATCTCCTAAGAGCTCTTCTCCCTCTTCTACTCCTTCTTACTCCTCTTTCCATCCTCTCTGTTTCCTCAGTCTCTCTCTGTCCTTTGAATGGTTATAGCAAGAACTTGAAATTTAATTTGTAGATTGTTACACTGTAGTTATTAAAGTTTTATGTCCTCTTTTCCTAAAATGCTGGTGGTCTAATTGAAAGTTGGGTGGTTTTTTTTTTTGCTTCTCTCTAGACAAAAATAACATACATTAAGTAACTTTTATCTGTAACCCACTGTTGAAATGTCTTCAACCCATTAACTTTGATTTAAAAAGCAAAACAAAACAACAACAAAAACCAGTTTCTTCTGACTTACTCTAAAGCTTTACATGTAAGTACTTAATAGACGAGCAGAATTTTAGCTAAAGTGTTAGTGTTAGTGGCTCTGTTGTGTCCGACTCTTTGCGACCCCATGGACTGCAGCTCACCAGGCTCCTCTGTCCGTGAGATTTTCCAGGCAAGGACACTGGAGCGGGGTGCCATTCCCTCCTCCAGGGGATCTTCCCAGCCCAGGGATCGAACCCAGGCCTCCTACTCTGCAGGCAGATTCTTTACTGACTGAGCTACAAGGGAATTTTAGCTCAACATTTTATAACTTTGATGTTGTCAGCCTAAACTAAATCTCTTTGAAGGAGAAAGATGTCATAGGATTGCATATCTGTAATGATATTTTAATACAATGCTTAAAATTCCTTAATTGTTACAGTTGAGCAGTAAAAGTTCCTCAAAAGGAAAAGGAAACGTTCACTCTTTACCTTTCCCTTTGGCAGATTCTCTTATGCTGAGGTCACCGTTTGTTAAGAGCAGACAGCTTCTTTATGATGACATTGGCAAAGTAAACCCGCGTCTTAGAGAACCCCAAGATCTCTTTGCTTTTTTCTCTGGAAACGCGCTGCTGCAGGCTCCAAGGTGGCCAATAGAATGTGAGGTCATCAAGGAGAGCATTCATCATATTGGTAATGTGACTTAAGTGTCATGGCCTTGCTGTTCTGATAGTCTGTATTATAGTTTTAAGTTCTATGCATACTAAAGTACAAGGCAGGACAGATTCACTATCTGTTAGCTCACTCTGAAATGTTTAAGCTCTAAGAAACTGATCCACACTCCCCAAAGTCAAAAGTTACACTAATGTTTAAATTTATCCATAGGTATTTTACTTTTTTTGAGGCAGTTGTAAATGAGAATGTTGTCTTAATTTTTCTTTCATTATTCGTGTATAGAAATGCAATGGAATTTTGTGTATTGATTTTGTATTTTGCAAAATACAAAATTTGTTAATAGTTCTAACAAGTTTTCTGAATTTGTTACTAGTTCTAACAGTTTTCTGATAGAGTCTTTAGGGCTTTCTATATATAATATATGTCAGTGGTAGTTTTACTTCTTACCTTTGCAGTTTAAAGAACTTTTATTTCTTTTTCTTGCCTGATTGCTCTGGCTAGGATTTCCAGTACTGTGTTGATAAAGTGGTCAGAGTAGGCATACTTGTTGTGCTCTTGATCTTAAAGGAAAAGCTTTCAGCTTTTCACTGTTGAGTATGATGTTAGCTGTGGGCTTAACATTCATGGCTTTTATTATTTTGAGGTGATCTGTCTATACCACCTTTCCTGAGAATTTTTGTCATAAAGGATGTTGAATTTTCTTCAGATGCTTTTTCTTCACATGTTGAAATAATCATATGATTTTTTTTTCCATTTATTTTTATTAGTTGGAGGCTAATTACTTTACATCATTGCAGTGGTTTTTGTCATACATTGAAATGAATTAGCCATGGATTTACATGTATTCCCCGTCCTGGTCCCCCCTCCCACCTCCCTCTCCACCCGATCCCTCTGGGTCTTCCCAGTGCACCAGGCCCGAGCACTTGTCTCATGCACCCAACCTGGGCTGGTGATCTGTTTAACCCTAGATAATATACATGTTTCGATGCTGTTCTCTTGAAACATCCCACCCTCGCCTTCTCCCAGAGTCCACAAGTCTGTTCTATACATCTGAGTCACTTCTTCTGTTTTGCATATAGGGTTATCGTTACCATCTTTCTAAATTCCATATATATGTGTTCGTATACTGTAATGGTCTTTATCTTTCTGGCTTACTTTGCTCTGTATAGTGGGCTCCAGTTTCATCCATCTCATTAGAACTGATTCAAATGAATTCTTTTTAATGGCTGAGTAATATCCCATGGTGTATATGTACCACAGCTTCCTCATCCATTCGTCTGCTGATGGGCATCTAGGTTGCTTCCATAATCATATGATTTTTATCCTTTATTTTGTTACTGTGATTGATCACACTGGCTGATTTTTGAATGTTGAACCATCCTTGCAACCCTGGAATAAATCCCACCTGATCATGGTGTGTGATTCTTTTATGTATTGTTGAATTCAATTGTGCTTTAGAGGCCCTTGGCTTTCATCAGTGGCTTCCTGTACTTAAAATGGCAGGAAGTTGCCCAAGTCCCATAAGAGAAATCTTTCAGAACTGAGTGTTAATGAAGAAACCTTGTTTCCTCTGAAGAAACTGGTATACTTGTTCCTTTATAGTGATAAGAAAAATGTAGCTGATCGTATTGTCCTGACTTGGAAGTTCAGGGACACATTTTGTAGAGTTGTTGCACCAACTTTCTGGCTTATTTTTAAGTCTTATACTTCTGTTGTATATGCTTTTTGTTAAAAATTTCTCCATAGTCTTTATAGAAAGAAGCAAGATATAATTAATTTACAAATAGGATTGGAATTTGATTTGATTCAACCAGACTAGCCATTTGAATAATCATTATTATTATTTTATATCAGTTATAATAAAGTACCTTTTATATTATTTCTTATTTTATACTTTTTCAATGCCTTCTTTCAGAATGGGTTCCACCTCAACCAGAATATTTCTATCAACCTACAGGAAATGAAAAGATACCAGAAATTGTAGGAGAAGAAAAAGGCACAATTGTCTATCAGTTAGATTCAGGTATTGTTATCACACCAAACAGTGAGTAATTAATCATGACCAAATTACAATAAACATATTTTCTATAATAAAAGAAAAAAAAATCCATAGTTTAGTGGTAAACTGAGTGATAGCCCTGAAATTCAGAACTGATCAGTTTTAAATGTTTAATCACTTTTTAAAAATGATAGTACCTTTTCTTAATACTTCTGAGTCCATTTCATATCTTCTTCTCTGTTGTTCTTCCTGAAAACCAGATGTTGGATTTTTGGGGAATTTCTCATCTTTTCTCCACCTCCTATACTGTAGTGAGTACTTTGTAGTATGTGTGTATGACTGTCATTTATGCTGTAGTTTCCTGCATTAATTTGCAGCCATCCTATTGGTAGAATTCATGTCTTTTATAAAAATGTGCTGGACACTGTACCCAAGAACAAAATACATATTCTTTTCAAGGGTACCTGGTAAATTCCCCAGGATATACCATACATAAGGTTATAAAGCGAGTCTTAGTGTGTTGAAAAGGACTGAAGTCATACAAAATATATTCTCTGACCACAGCAAAATTAAATTAGAAATCAACAGCAAAATGAAATCTGGGAAATCTACAAAATATTTGCAAATTAAATAACACATTTCTCTTAAGTAACCCACAGGTTAAAGAAAACATAAGCGTTCAAAAATATTTTGAACTGATGGAAAATAAAACCACATATCAGAATTTATGAGATGTAGCTAAAGCACTGCATGGTCAGTTTAAAGGAAGATTTCAAATCAATTACCTAAGCCTCCACCATAATAAGTTAGAAAAATAAGAGCAAACTACGTCCAAAGTGAGCCAAAGGGGACTTCTCTGGTGATGCAGTGGTTAAGAGTCTGCCTACCAATGCAGGGGACATGGGTTTGCCGGTCCAGGAAGATCCCACATGCCACCGAATAGCAGCCTGTGAGCCGCAGCTGCTGAGCCTCTGGTCTGGAGCCCAGGCCCTGCAACCAGAGCAGCCACTGCAGTGAGAAGCCCGCCCCGCAGTGAAGAGCAGCCCCTGATGACCGCAGCTGGAGAAAGCCTGTGTGTAGCAACAGAGGTCCAGCACAGCCATAAGTAAATAAAGAATTTCTTTAAAGCAGGCAAAAGGAAGGAAATAATAAAGAGGAAAATGGAAGTCAGTAAAATAGAATAGTAGCGTAGGAAATCAAACCAAGGGTTGGTTTTTTTGGAACAAAAAATTGACAAAACTTTAGCCAGACCAACCAAGGAAAAAGGAGAGGAGACACAAATGATCAAAATTAGGAGTGAAAGGGGACACAGATACCAACTCTACAGAGATCAAAACAATTACAAGGTAATGCTAAGCTAGCAAATTAACACAGACGGCTGAAAAGTTGCTGGGAAAAAAACAGGTATTATCAAAACCGACTTAGGAAGAAATAAAAAGTCTAAATAGATTATAACAAAGAAACTGAATTAGTAATTCAGAATCTTCCTGGGAATAAATCCCTGGCACAGATGGCATAACGGGATTTATTTGAATTGTACCGAACATCTAAAGATGAAATAGCCCTAATTCTTCAAAAACTTTGGAAACAGAAGAAGGGGAAACATTTCCTACCTCTTCTTGTGAAGCCAGTATTTAAAGCCAGACAAAGGCATCACAAGAAAACTATAGGTCAGTATTCCTCATGAATATAAACGCAAAAATCCTCAACCAAATACCAGCAAACCAAATTCAGCAGCATATTGAAAGGACTGTACCCCGTGACCAGGAGAGACTTGTTAAAGGAAGCCGAGGGTGGTTCAACATAAGAAAATCGATGTGACAAACTATATTAATAGAACAAAGAGGAAAAAAGCTACACAGTTGTCTCAGTCAGCACAACGAAAAGCATTGGACAAAATCCAGCCTTTCATGATAGCGTTCTGAAAACTGGAAATCGAGAATTTCCTCTGTTCAATATTCTTTACTGATATTGTATATTTATTGATAAGATATTTATGGAAAGGATGAATCAACTTCAAACTCACTAACACAGCCGTAACAACAGTAGAGACAGTAACAAGTGCTGGGGAGGATGTGAAGTAGATGGTAATAGTAACCTTGAAGGCAGAAAGGAGATGTCATGTTAAAGAACTGTGAATCAATAGATAGAAATGGTCAGAAGAGAAGTCAGTTTTATTAAGAGGAGGAATATGTACCAAGTGCAATTAGTAGAAATGGAATGTCAGTTAATAAAATCGTGGAGAGGGAGTTAAGAAACAGCAAGAGATAGGAAAGAGGAAGCTGCAATGGGTTTACATTCCTACCACGAGAAAAATTAAATGAGCGGCTTTTAGCAGAGAGGGTCCATCTGAGATGTGGTTATACACCCTCTACTCCCAGTTGCCTTGATTTTGGACTTTCATCTCACTGTTTTGGCAAAACTTACTATATTCAGTGAGGTAGAAAAGATAAAGCAACTACCTAGCCCCACTTTATGGAACATCTGAGGAGGAGTTTGGGAGACTAAAATCTGAGATCAGGGGACTTCCGAGGCAGTCCAGGGTTGAGACTTTCCTTCCAACGTGGGGCGTGCAGGTTCAATCTGTGGTTGGGAAGCTAAGCTCTCACGTGCTTCGTAGCCAAAACAGAAAACAGAAAAAAATATTGTAACAAATTAAATAAGGACTTTAAAAATGGTCCACATAAAAAAAATTTTTTTTAATAAAATCTGAGATTGTAAGTCAGATGACTTGAGTTATAAATAATAGGGGATGTATCGCCCCTAGGACCTCAAGAAATTCTTAGTATCATAAGCCTGTGTTACCGTGGAGCCTGTTTTACCTGTGGGTGACCTTGTAGTCATTTTCAGTAAACCAGATGACCGTGCATCCCCATTGCATCATGGGTTCTATCCAGATGTATTTCTACAGAGGGAGAAACCCTGGCGCTGAGAGCTCCTTCTCCTGATACGACAGCTTTTGTGGATTGTCCTCTTAATACACATTTGTGGCAGCTGTCTTGATCTTGCCTTTGGATTCATCAAGTGGAGTTAAGCCCACCCTACTGGAGGAATGAGGAAACTGAAAACTGGGAAGATGGGGCTCCGGGGAGAATCTGGGGGTTTGTTAGGAGTCCTAGAGCAACCACATGCTATAAGAATGTTGTGGGTTAAATAAGAAAGAGGTTTTGTTTTTGAGACATGTTACTGTGGGCTATGAATTGAATCATTTTTAATGTTACCTAAGAGACTCAAGAAAATATTGAAATCCGTATATTAACGACATCTGGTTGCTGGTCTGTACATTGATTATGGTTCCTTGAAAAGATTGAACAACATGGAACTCCAGCTCTTTAAATGGATTATACGTACTCTTGCTGCTTTCTCTGCTTTTACTTCCTCTGTGCTTTTACTCCCATTTTATACTCACTTTCTTCTTTGCTTTCATTTATTATCCAAATTACTTACTCTCTAAGTCTCCACAGTGACAAGGTTTCATATAGAAGCAAAAGTCATAATGTGAATATATCTACTAATGAAGTAGAAGCAGGCCCTGTATATATTTCTATTTGTTTAACGCATGTATCTATCCTGCCCCGTGGTCAGGATCTTTGTTGATGTCAATCATTTGTTGATTGGTAGATATTGCTAACATCTGACACATAATGCAAGTATAGTAAAAAATGATTGCGAAGTGAAATTATCCATATAAGTGATGCAAGATTGTATGAAGTCTGTGAATGTTAAATAATTATTTGCTTCACTTGCAAAGCCATTGACTACTGAGAATATAGAAATTTCTTATTTAAATACCCCTTGTTGTTAAACTAGAATAGTGCTGAACACAGAGAAGCTTAATAAACATATACTGGATAAATGGATTCTGAGTTGAACTTGGACTAAATATGTCTATCTCATCCACAGTGCCCACCGAAGATTCCTATTTTACCAGTTCCAGAGTGGGAGGCAAACGCGGAATTATCAAGGAACTCTCTATCTCCTTACAGGGACCAGAAGATAATACTCTGCTGTTTGAATCAAGGTTTGAGAGTGGGAACCTGCAGAAAGCTGTCAGAGTGTGAGTAACAGAGAGGAATTTCCCAAAGGGATGAGGACTGAAGTGACTGAGATGTGTCTTCAGGAATCATGTTAAGGAGTCAGGAGTGTTTTTGTAAAAGAGAAAAGTGATGAGAGATGATGGTGAAGACAGTGAAGAAGAATGAAATAATTGTGACTCATATTTTCCTCCAGGAAAAAAAAATTATCCAAACTTTTTTCTACTTCTAAAATAAATGAGTGCACATTTGAAATTTGCTTTATGGACCTGAAAGAGACTGTTAGATATTTCTCCAGCAAGCATGCCCTTATTCAAGATCGACAGAGAATTGCAGTTCGGGGTCTGCAGCCACAGGGAGCCAGGAAAGCCCTGTAATGCAGGGAGAGAGAACACTCTGAGAGGAGAAGGAAGTTGGGAGACGTTAGTAAACAGAAGGTTCGCAGCTTGTCATTGGCTGCGTCTTTACCAGGAAGGAGAGTTCTTCCTGTTGGGCTCCACTGTCATTGCAGGGCTTGAGAGCGCCCCCTTGTGGTCTCCCAATTCTGTTTAATTAGGGTTTCTGTTCGTTAACTTGACAGTCTTAATAAAAATGTTGTTGTTTAGTTGCTAGCCCACCAGGCTCCTCTGTCCACGGGATTCTCCAGGCAAGAAGACTGAAGTGGGTTGCCATTTCCTTCTTCAGGGATCTCCCCAACCCAGGGATCAAACCCACATCTCTTAAGTTAGCAGGTGGATTCTTTACCGCTGAACCACCGAGGAAGCTCCTTAATAAATACCTAACATAAAAAGTTGAAGTCCCATAATCATACCTCCCAGATGCAGCAACTGTTTATATGTATTAATTTTTGTGTATATGCATTAACTTTTTTCTCATGTTTTAAAAAACAGTACGCATACTGTTTTTTTTTATAATACATACTGTTTTGCATGTTGGCTTTTTCCACTTAATAAATTTTAAATGTTTTCTTATGGCCGTACCACAGATGCATCTCCTTATTTTTAATAGCTCATATTGTCCTATCGTATGGATACTCTATACCTTATTCAGCTTTTCCCCAACTGATGGGAAATGAAGATGTTTACAATTTTTGGCTTAATGAATGAATACCCTTATGCATTCGCATTTTTAAATATTGATGGTGTTATGAGACAAATCCTAGACATAAAATGGTTGGGTCAGGGTTTGATCACTTCAATAATGCTAGATTTTGTCCAGTTGTCGTCCTAGCGTGATTTCAGTCCCCATCAGCAGCATTGAGAGTGCCTGTTTCCCAGCTCTGGAATGCCAATGAGATGGAGGCGGAAGGGACGGCTTATTTTAGTTCGTACTTCATGAGTTATGCTTGTGGATGAGTATCTTTCCATGATCTCTGGCATTTGTATGTTGTCTTCTGCAAGTTCACCAAGGTGAAAGCTTTCCAGAAATGTCTCCTCATCTTTAAATAAGTGAGGATCAGATACATAAAGACAGCACAGAGGACTTGCAGGTCTCTTCCACAGAGATGATATCCAGAAAGCAGCTAACATCCAGCACTGGCTCTGGCTTCACTGCTGGTTACTGCACTTCAGAGAGAGGTGCTGAAGTGCTTAGAAACTGCTGTTGGATGCTCTTGAAAGATAGCAGGGAGCTCACGGTGCTCCCCAGCATGCTATGCAGCAGTGTCAGCTTTGAGGCTCTTCCTATCCTGCTCCGAATAAGTTTTCTTTCCCCAAGTTCCTGCTAGCCTGATACATGAATTGGAAAACTAGGGAGAATAGAAAATAAATGTTTGCTACAGCAGGCTTTTCTGTTGTAGCAAGATCTGTTTTTATCAGGAGAAAACAGTATTTGTTTTTTGAGGGGCGAGTGGAGTTACAGAGAGATGCTTCTGTGTTCTCTATTCCAGAAACACCTACGAGTATGAACTCACCCTGCGAACTGACCTCTACACAAACAAGCACACTCAGTGGTTTTATTTTCGAGTTCAGAACACCAGGAAAGACGTCACCTATCGCTTCACCATCGTCAACTTGCTGAAACCCAAGAGCCTCTACACTGTAGGGATGAAGCCGCTCATGTACTCCCAGTTGGATGCCAGCACCCGCAGCATTGGCTGGCGGAGAGAGGGGAAGGAAATCAAGTACTACCGGGACAGCACGGAGGACGGCCAGCAGCCCTCTTACTGTCTCACGTGGACCGTTCAGTTTCCACATGACCGGGACACTTGCTTCTTTGCACACTTCTACCCGTACACGTACACTGACTTGCAGCGCTTCCTCCTGTCAGTGGCAAACAGCCCCATCAAATCTCAGTTCTGCAAACTCCGGACCTTATGTAGGAGCCTCGCAGGAAACAACGTCTACCTGCTCACCATCACCAACCCAGCTCGGACCCCTCAAGAGGCAGCTGCGAAGAAAGCTGTGGTCTTGACTGCCCGCGTGCACCCTGGGGAAAGTAATGGCTCCTGGATTATGAAAGGCTTTTTGGACTTCATCCTGAGCAGCTCCCCAGATGCTCAGCTCCTCAGAGATATCTTTATCTTCAAAGTGGTCCCCATGTTAAATCCAGATGGAGTGATCGTGGGGAATTATCGGTGTTCGCTGGCTGGAAGGGATTTGAACCGGCATTATAAAACCATTCTGAAGGAGTCTTTCCCCTGCATCTGGCACACCAGGAATATGATCAAGAGGTGAGGCTTCTCCCCGTTGGTCTCACACTGTCAGCACTGTCTGATGTGTGCGACCTTTTCCGGTGGCACAGGAGGCAGGAATGGTTTGGGGGCAGTCTTTAATGTTCTCTCTGTAGCCATGTGGGTTTGGTAGTTTTCACATTTTAAAATCATGTCTTATCTTTGGATTGAAACTAAACATGCAGTATTTCACTAGAGGTGTTTCACCTAAGTGAAATGATTGAATGTAAAAGGTCAAAAGTCAGGGAGTTCGTAAGTCTTCGTGATGAGACTTGTATGATAAGAATAACAGTACCTGACCATTCGTCAGCTCTTGTGTACAACAGGCAGCATTCGCAGCGCTTCCAACCTGACCCGTTAGTCTCACGTTCGCCCTGTGAGGTGGGCACCATCACTGTCACCATTTTATATGTGATGAGGAAGTGAAGGCCTGGAAAAGCTGAGAAACTTGCCCAAGGTCATATAGCTAGTTCTCTGGTTGCAGAGTCTGAATTCCTTGTTATCCTCTTATAATGAAAGAATAATAAATCAATTTGCATTTTCTAAGCCAATGTAAAAGTAGTTGAAGACTAATGATACAATAGCACCCACCTTAAAGGAGCTTCCGTTTCACTGGACCTGAAATTGCAGCACATAAGACTCACACGCCTTCTCACCGTATCTGTGTGAACGGCTGAGAAGAGCTTTGGGTTGATAGACAGAATGGCTCAGAGTGTATATTGGCGTTGGGCAGGCCTGGCTCTGAGACCTGGTTTTACTACTGTGACCACGGAAGCCTCAGTTTTCTTGTCTGTAGAGTGGGGATAATAATACCTGCAAATGGCACCCCACTCCAGTACTCTTGCCTGGAGAATCCCATGGACGGAGGAGCCTGGTAGGCTACAGTCCACGGGGTCGCAAAGAGTCGGACACGACTGAGCGACTTCACTTTCACTTTGGGTGGTTACTGTGAGGCTTAAATGAGATAGTGCATGTTATCTACTTAGCACAGTCCCCTGCATGTTAAAGATGTGGCATTGTTACCATCATCACCGAGAAGGTGACTGTGTTTGGAAGACTGAGTAGGTGTCCTGGTCATCCAGAGACAGGAGCTGAGTCTTAGAGGAACTAACCCCGGAATGTCAGAAACCACGGCTGTCTTTGGTTCTTTCCCCTGTCTGCCTGTCTCCCTCTTTCCACTCGTCTGCACTGGGTGGGGGGGGGGCGCGGCTTTCTTTCAGTGGATTTTCTCCTCTCCTTCACAAGGCCCACCCATCTCTGCTTTCCGTGGCTGGCAGGGCAGAGAGTGCTGGAGGCATGTTTCCATCAGGGATGGGGCTGGGGGTCCTTTGAAGGTCATTAGGGGCTGAAATTTTCTTAGGAGGGAAATTATCAACAGACATGCTTAAGGAAGAGACTCCAAGGGATCCTTGACTATTCTCATGCCTTTGTATACCCACTGGCCCTTTGTCTGCACCCCCATAGACTCCTTGAAGAAAGGGAGGTTCTCCTGTATTGTGATCTCCATGGCCACAGCCGGAAGAATAACATCTTCCTGTATGGTTGCGGTAACACTGATCGCCAGTTCTGGCTTCATGAGCGAGTCTTTCCTTTAATGTTAAGCAAAAATGCACCAGATAAGGTAAGCACGAAAGGTAATTTCCTGTCCACTGACTAAGGGAGAAAGATAACTCATCCATTCCTGTATGCAATGTCTGATTTGCCACTTTGTTGCTCTTCATTATCTTGGGTAAATCCCAGAAAGCTGGGCTTCCAAGACCTTAGAAAATTGTGGCTTTAAGAATGACACTGTATTATTCATTGTCCAATGAAAAGATAAATAAAATGTAGCATATCCACACAATGGAATGTTATCTGTCAGTAAAAAGAACTGAGCAGTGATAACACCAGGACTCAGATGAACCTTGAACACATTATGCTAAGTGAAAGAAGCCAGACACAAAAGGCCACATGTTATCTGATTCTGTCCTAGGAAATGTTCAGAAAAGGCAAATCCATAGAGACAGAAGGTGGGTTACTGATTGCCTAGGGCTGATGCAGAGAGGGTGGCGTGGGGAGTGACAGCTAATGATGGGTCCTGGGTTTCTTTTGGGGAAATGAAAATATTGTAAATTTAGGTTGTGGTAATGGTTGCACAACTCTGTGAATATATTTAAGCCACTGAATTGTGTACTTTAAATGTGTGAATTGTATGGTATGTGAATAATATCTCCATAAAGATGATTTTTTTTTAAATTGCTATTGGCTGCTTTGCCCTGGGTGTAAGTTCAAACTCTTAACAGGTAGAATTCTCTGCCATCTTTCATCCTGTGACTGGCAGTGGAAGAAGGGATTGAAAGACAAACAAAACGCTCATGTAATATGAGCCTCTACAGAAACATGTATGTAATACAAGATCACAAATAACTGTAAGACAGCAGAGAACTAATAAAAACAACTTAAACGTCTTCAGTAGTTGGTTGAGAAACAGCTCTGTGACAGTTGTATCTGTGCTGATTTAGAAGTTGGTTTTCAACATCGTAAATAGAGTCACAAAGTGTAACTGGCATTGGAAAGAAGAAGCTAAATTGGGTTTAGAAAAGTATTTAAATGATACTGCAGATTTTTCTCCCATAAAGATAGAAGACAGGGACTTCCCTGGTGGTCCTGTGGTTGAAAGTCCACACTTCCACTGCAAGGGGCAAGGGTTTGATCCCTGATCAAGGATCTAGGATCCTGCATGCTTCCTGGTGCAGCCAAAATAAATAGAATAGGAATAAAAACGTCCCTTTAAAAATAATTAGTCCTGAAAAAATCAAACAAAAAATATATAGGACAAAGGAATCCCCTGGGGGTCCAGTGGTTAGGACTTGGCTGTTTCACGGCTGTAGCCTGGGTTCAATCCCTGGTCAGGGAACTAAGATCCCACAAGTTGTGCAGTGAGACTGGAAAAAAATATAAATAGGACAGATATTTTATATCTGTGACTTATTTGTTAAAAAAGAAAAAGGAAGCTTTTCTTCCTTTTGCGCTGTTTCCCTCCCTGCCTCTGCTCTTTCTTTTCTTTTTTTAATCTTCCTATTTTTTTCCAGGAATCTCTTTCTTTCTTCAAATGAAATTGCATCCAGAACCCAGTATCTAAAACTTGAACAAACTCTTTGGCCAGCCCAATATATGTTTACAAATTCCAAATGAGGAAAGAGTTGGGAGTGATCATGAAATACGATGGAGGCTATTGAACTCCAAGCTAGGACCACATTAGTGTTAGGAGGTGGGGAGAGTCCGGGCAGAGGTTACAGGGTGAGGCATACACAAATCATAGATAGAGGATAAGGGTTCGAGATCCAAGGGTTCAAGGTGGGGAGGGTAGAGAATAAATCTCATGCTGGCTGGTACCTTGAATACTAAAGTAAGCCAGCATTCCCAAACAGGTTGTTCAAAGAACCCTGGTCTTACAGAATGTCCCTGCGGAAGGTGGGAAAGGAAAGGAAGAGTTCACAGGCCATGAAAATCAGAATCTACTCTCTCCCCTAGTGAGAGGCACAGTCCACAATAACACATTAAATGAGAGGTCCTGCAGAGAAGGCCTGTTTAATTGGGTTAAACCTGCATCTCCCCGACCAACATGACTGCAGAACTCATTTTTTCCTCTGTAATATCTGTGACACCCCTTGGTATTTTATGGATCATATGTTAGAAACTAATAGATACTTCCTTTTTTTTTTTAAACCATATTAGTGAATTTTATTTATTTATTTATTTATTTTTAAATTTTAGACATCTTACATTTGCCAGTTTATGATGAACAGAGGGTTTGGATTTCTCTTTAGTTTTCTTTTCACAGTTGTAACTTTAAAGTCCAAAAGTGCAAAGAAGGAACAGGACGAGTTGTGATGTGGCGGATGGGAATCCTAAACAGCTACACCATGGAGTCTACTTTTGGCGGGTCCACCCTGGGTAAGCTGTCTTTTGTAGATCACGGGCCGTTATGGCAAGAGGAAGCCAAGCCAAGCACTGGCGAGGTGAAATTCTGTTGAATGTTGGGGAGATAATTGAGCTAGAAGATTTTCTTGTCTGCACTTTAATGCTAAATTTGAGAACCCAAAATACAAGTGTGAAGTATCATATAGGTATATAAGTATCACACACATCATATAGTGTGCAGGATAGCACAGTGGTTGCTCAGGGCCTGGAGGTACGGCAGGTCCGAGTCTGGGTTTCCGTCGCGTGCATGCTTAGTCACTCAAGTCGTGCCTGACTCTGCGACTGCATGGACTGTAGCCCGCCAGGCTGCTCTGTCCCTGGGATTCTCCAGACAAGAATACTGGAGTGGGTTGCCATCTCCTCCTCCAGGGGATCTCCCCTACGCAGGGATCAAGCCCACGTCTCCTGTGGCTCCTGCTTTGGCGTGCAGGTTCTTTACCACGGAGCCGCCTGGGAAGCCCTTTGAATTTGCTTTAACTGGCAGTAATATGAGTGCTTGTGAGATCGTGCACGTAAAGCATTTGGCCTAGTGCTTGTCACAAAGTGAAACCTCAGTACTTTAGGCATCGTGATTGTAAACGATCATTGTCAAAGGCTCTCCTGAAGTAGACTATGAGAGAGACCCTGATCAGAAGCATACTATTCTAGAATCAGAGGTGGTGTTTTTAATGAGATGTTCATAAATTAGATTTGCATTTGCTCATGAAGACTTAATAAGTCCTATGGATTTTTTTGTCCCCAGGCAATAAAAGAGACACTCACTTTACCACTGAGGATCTGAAATCCCTGGGTTATCATGTCTGTGACACCCTTCTCGATTTCTGTGATCCTGACCGAACCAAGGTAAAAATGGGCTTTCAAGACATGTGGTGATGTCACTGTGATCATTGTCGCACAGGTCCAAAGTCAGCCCAGCGGGGTTACAGGTGATCTTTATTTTCCTCCTCATATTTTTCTGAAGTTTTTGTAATCAAAGAAAGTAAGAAAAGCCCCAGTCTGCACACTCCCAGCCGACAGTACGACCTCGTGCCTCCTTGGGAGCGGGGGCCACGCGCCCCTTCCGAGCAGCCACCTCCCCCTCACTCTGGGCTTGCCTGTGGCGGCGCCGGTGCCAGCTTCCCTCCCTCCTGTTTCAGAAAAGCAGGTATCCTTTCTCCTCTCCAGAACTGTTCCTGCCCTTGCTGCGCTGGCCAGCCTCCCCTGTGGTCTCCCTGAGGTCTTGCCTTATTAAATAACTAGTCTCTTTTCTGTTTTTTTTTTTTTTTCCCCTTTTCTTCTTCCTCCCAACAGCAGATGTTATCAAGCTGCCCCCATCCTAAAGCACAAGCAGAGACTTCCTTTGGCGTTGTTTTTCCGGGAGCTTATTTCTATTTCCCTTTATTGTTCACCTTCTTGAAAGGGAGCCTGGACTCATGGTCCCTAACTCATCTCTCATGCCCCCTCGGAAATGTCCACCCTGGGAACACGTGACATGCACCACTCAGGATGCTGCTGTTCGATTAAAAAAAAACACTTAAAGGAGAATTTGGCCTCAGCATAGGGCCTCTTAAATCAGATTTGCCAGAGGCCAAAATCTGAACAACCCCATTCTAACTTTTCCTTCTTTGCTACTCAAAAAAATGAAGCAAATCCAACCTTTGCATTGTTCAAGAAGTTTATTATTAGCTATAACCAAGGGAATGTCTAAAGCAGTGTTCATTAACATTCTTCTTTAAAAATGCTTCTGCCTGTTCCCACCGCTCATGTAATTTATTGTTAACATGCCTTTAGTAGCAGAGGTTTTGGTTTACTCATCCTTAAGTCCCCAGAAATAAACAAAGTGCCATTCAGCAGATTTATTATATGAATAAATAAATGAATAATCAAGAATAGCATTTTTTTTCAATTCCATAGTTCATGCAGTGTCTGGCAGAGCTTAAAGAGCTCTTACAACAGGAAATCCATAAGAAATTCAAGGAACTTGGACAAGATATGGATTTAGAAAGAAGCTGGAGTGACATCTCTTTGTCTGACGTTGAATCCAGGTAACAAACTTCATTTCAAAGAAAAACCAGAGAGGTTCTGTTTTTTGGAATTATTTTCTTGCTTGCTCTGCTGTGTTGGTTTTGAACCTGAGGCAAATAAAATGAATAATGAATAAAATCATGGCACCCTTAGATACACTTTGTTCTTTCGGCAACTAGGTATTAAGTGCCTGATCTTTGTTAGCCTCCCTTCTCGGCTCTGGAAAGGGTTAGAGAGCCCCGATTTGTGGCCCCAGAGTAGTTCTGCCAACTCAGTCTCCCAGAAGTCTCTTTAGGAACCTTAAAAACCAGACCATCAGGCCAGGGAGGGCGTCCCATTCACCATGTCACCTCTCCCACTCTCCCGGAAGCCTCTGCCTAACTCACAAGTTCCACTGCACAAAGGCCTCTTCACTTTCAGCCTCAAAAACAAAACGCCTCCTGCGTATCAACTGCTACATGTCAGGCCCAGTGGGGACTGCCTCAGAAGCATCCTGACTGCATCCCGACAGGCTCAGCAGGGATACCCTATTGGATTTAGTGAGGAATTATTGAGTCCAATCTGTCAGCCTCAGCACCACCTCCATGGGGCTCTCTCCATTCATGGATCACACAGAACAGCGGGCTGCGTGTGCAAGCCCCGTGTGAGCTGTGTCTGTGCGCACACACCTGGTTTTAGACATCTTCTGGGGCGACCACGTCTAACACTTCTGTCCCCTTTGTTCATGTTTTGTGTTATCTCCAAAAGGGACTTCAGAGGCTATTCTCTAGTGGCCTCAGAGGCTGCTGCTCAGACTGGAGAAGCCCGTGAGAACAGGGAGCTGGGAGTCAGGAGAGAAGCGAGGGCTTTCTCCCCGCTGCTTTGCTGCAGGGCTCCTCCGTTATGCGCTGAGAGGAGCACGAACGGGCTGGGAACGCTGGCCTTTTCCCAGGAGGTCTGAGTTTTGTGCCTGAGACGGTTTCCATATACGGAGGATGTGTCACAGAGCACAGCTTGCAGTTCTCGCCAGCCACACCCCAGGGAAGGGGAAAACCAAGGACAGGATGAAGGGAGAAGGCATGGGGTATCTGAGTCCTCATTCAACCTAGCCTGCGAAGAAAGGAGGGGAGGACGGTTTGCGGGGGCGGGGAGGCGGGGAACTTCAGATCAGTCTAGAGGTTCCTCTGAAACTTTCAAAGGAGGATTTGGGGCCTTAAGAGTAATGCTCCTAATCTGCGACCTACAGATCTTTTGTTACTAAATGTATCTATTTGTATTTTCAAGGCATTCTTAAAGAGTAACTAGTCACATCCCTGCTCTCTGAGCTGGTACTGACTAGACCACGCGCTGGAAAAAGCCCCTGCTTTCAGACAAACTGCAGCCCCCTGCTGGTCTCTCGGGCTGCTGCCAGAGAGTCCCAAGCCTCTCGCAGTCACTGCCAAGGGCCGCTTTGTCCATCTGGCCAGTATTTATTTTGCCACACGGGTCATCTCTGTTTCCTGTGCCTGATGCACTGCCTGGCATGCTGGAGGTGTTTGCAGTGAATGAGTGGATGGGCTGGTCTTGATTTCTTAGTAATTGAAATGCACATTGCGGGCAAATAGCAGACCAGGTGTCCTCACCCCATGCCCCTGTTCTGGTCAGTGCTACACATCCTAGACATTAATAACAAGTCTTTCCCTTTTCCTTTCCTTCTGGAAACAGCACCAGCGGTTCTGACAGCTCCCTCTCGGATGGCCTCCCTGCTCACCTACTGAACATAGCAGATGAGGTGAGATTTTAGAGACTCTGACACCCAGGAAGTAGCAGCCTAAAAAAGGCCTGACGCTCCTGAGCAGTTTGGAGGAGTTTTCAGCCGTCCCAAGATCTGCAGAAAATACAGCAATAGCGTCCTAACTGGTTACCCTGCCCTGGAGGCCTTCTTTCTGTCCTTTGTAACTTTCTTCTTTAAAACCTATAGAGGAAAAATGTGAGGGCTCCACATATATTCCAAAATTAACAAAAAGTGAGGGGGAAATGTTTAACTTAAAGTGAAAACCACGTTAAGAGATAGAAGTTGTTAAAAACGACCCACACATTTTAAAAAGTGTTGAAAAGTGTTTTTGTTTACATGATCTTAGGTACTTTTCTATATTTCTATATAGTAAGTGATATTTTTGCCCTGTCTACTCACAGACTTCGTTTTTTACGTAGATATTATAAGAGCTTTAGAGACAGCAAAATATTTGTTGTGGTTCACTATGCATTTGATTTCCTAGGTGCATTAAGAAAGATTCCTCCTAGGATGAATTTAAGGCCATGTCAGATGAGCCAGCCATACCAGACTAGACCCTATAATTTCTTCAGCTGGGTTTACAGCAGCATCAGAATAAGCTTCACCACACCATGGGTACCTGGAAAATTAGTCCCAAGCTTCATTTGCTTAATTATTAAAGCTGCCTTGTGGTGACAGACAAACTGTATCAGTTGATCCCACAGCCATCAGTCAGTATACTCACCAGTATGTGCTTTCACATTTATATCACAGATACTTGGTTATTGGTATAGGTGCCCCTTTGGCAGTATATCTATAATAGGGGGGGTTAGGCGTGTTAAGTGGGAAGGGGTCTCTAGTAATGAGGTAACTGAACTGGTTTTTGGTTCTCCAAACCAACAACAGTTCAACACACTGTGAGGGCCCGCATCCCGGGTTAGCAATGGTGTCTTGAGCATTGTGTGAGAAGAGTATTCCCAGTGGGTGGATGTCTCTCTGGAACCCTCAGTGGCTAATTTCTCTGTACTTTCTGAAATAGTTGAATCAGAAGAAGATGATGTATAAGAAGAAAAAAAAGCCACTTAAGTCGAGAAAACAGCGAAACAAACAGTATCAGAAAAATACTTTGATGCCGGACTCAGAGATAACTGAAGACGCCCCAGTAAGAAAGCCCTGCTGCCTGTGTCTGCTGTCTGGTTAGAGCGTTCCGCAGTGGGTGCAGGACAGAGTTGAGGTTTCCTCCAAACCAGAAAGGGAATGGGAAATGGGACAGAGGGGCGTTTTCTATGTGGGTTTCAGAGCTCTTACCCAGGTCCTCAAAAGGAAAAGCTTTTGCACTGTAGTGTTGGAGAAGACTCTTGAGACTCCCTTGGATGGCAAGGAGATCCAACCAGTCCATCCTAAAGGAGATCAGTCCTGGGTGTTCATTGGAAGGACTGATGCTGAAACTGAAACTCCAATACTTTGGCCACCTGATGTGAAGAGCTGATTGATTTGAAAAGACCCTGATGCTGGGAAAGATTGAGGGCAGGAGGAGAAGGGGATGACAGAGGATGAGACGGCTGGATGGCATCACCGACTCGATGGACATGAGTTTGAGTAAACTCCAGGAGTTGGTGATGGACAGGGAGGCCTGGCGTGCTGCAGTCCATGGAGTCGCAAAGAGTCGGACATGACTGACCTGGGTCCTCTGACATCCCTGAGCATATTTCAGCTTGGCCCTTCCACTGGCCTCTAGCACAGCAAGTGCAGGAGCCCACCAAGTCTGGATTTGCAGAGGAAGGAGGCAGTGCTGGAAAAGTGGTGGCAAGAGCCCGTCCAGAGTGGCTGGGTGGTGAGAGATCAGGCCTGGTACAGGCCAGGGCCACTTGGACACCTCCTTCCTCACAGACACACCCACACCGCACCCCCTGCCCGCTAAAGATGAAAATCCCTTCAGAGGCGAGAGATTTGCCCCTGGGTGAATTGGGTCTGTTGTGAGTAGATTAATTGTAACAGTGCAACTGAAAACTGTTCTTTTTGCAATGCTTCTAGGAAAGGGCAAGATTTCCTTCTCTGCAAAAGCATCCTGCTTTTTTCAGAACTTCAGAGAATGCCAGTTCTTCAGTGATAAATAATGAAAAACCAAGGTTGAATAAGGTATTATTTTTGCCTGACTTTTTTTTTTTAACTCATAGAAAAGTTATTAAAACTTTTTTTGGTAATATGAAGTGTACAATGTGATTTTATACACACACACACATGCAAGCACACAACATGCATGTATACACTGAGAAAGGATTGTCACCATTTAGTTCAGTAACACACCCATCACCTCAAATATTTACTTTTTTTTCCTGAAAACTCTTACGTCCTGGGCTCTCTGTTCTGTTCTGTTTTTAGTCTGTGTCACGCAGTTGCTCTGATTTTTCCAATTAGTGCTCTCCCCCACAGGGTGAAGAATGGCATTGCCCCCTGTCACCCTGACAGTGGGGCTGGGAGCAGGGGGACATTAGCATTGGTGGGGACACTGACACTGCCTTGGATTGGACACCACTGAAGCCTGATATCACGCATTGGTGAATGGTGACTTTTATACCCAATCTTAAGAGCAGGCTGCGGGCCGCTCCATCCATCCATTCAACAAGCTGTACTGTACAGCCACTGCCTGCAGGCCGCCTACTGAACGCCGGGAGGGCAGCATTGAAGGAGACACCCTCCCTGCCCCGGGGACCCTGGAGTCTGCTGGGGGTTTTAACAAGCGAGCAGGAAGTTAACGTCCGGGGTAGGATGCGGTAGGAAACAGAAGAGACAGATCCAACAACTCTTTAGTGCTTGGGAGCGTGGCTACGAAATCCTCGGTTCTTCTCTGTATAAATTGGGCTTGGGCGCAGCAGTAGCCACAGAGCGTGCAGAGGCCGTCCTTGTGCGGAGCGCCGCCCCGTGGCTGAGGATGAGAGAAGGCGGTCCCGCAGCGTGACCGCGCGGAGCCCGAGCAGGGCGCAGCCACCCGCGTCCAGTGCCGAGGGCCCCTCTGCGGCCGGCGTGGCGGCGGCGGGAGCGCACGCTGTGCGGGCAGCCTCACGTCACACCCCGGCCCGGGTGCCATCGGCCGCGGCGACCTGACCCCGGGGCTGGCCCCTGCGTCTAACATGTCGGGGCTGTGGTATCCACACCGGAGGGTGTCGAGGATGCCCTACGTGAAACGTGTGTGGCGTGCCCAGCACGTAGTAGGCATGCAGCGAGTATTAGTTTCCTTCTTTGAATTACTGTATTTGCATTCTGCCTCTCTTTCAAAGTGAGAGTACCATAACGAATCAGCATGCATGACTAAAAAGTCCTCTGTGTGTCTTACACAGTCACACACTTGTCCAAGTGGAGAACTTACTGAGAATATGTTCCTTTATTTTAGTCACAGTTAAACGGAAGAGGCAAGAGCACCTCCGTGGACCCAACAAATATGACCACCTTGATTTTGGCTAAGAATAAAGACAGAATACAGGTATTTCGCCTAATATATGTGTATGTGTGTGTATATATATGCCCACAGTTAATTTTATTTGTTTTTCAAATGTATGATATGATTCGGAGGGGTGGTGATGCACAGTCCACACAGCGTCGTCCTTGTGGATTTGCTCTGTTAAGGCGAGCATCTCAGGTGGTTTGCCTCCTCAGGCTACAAACGCCAGAGCAGCCGGGGCACAGCCCACAAGGCTCCTTAGGGCTGAGGAAGCTCACCCAGAGCCGAACACTTGCCACGGCGAAGTTCATCTTGTTTCAGTGAACACTTGTTAGGCAGCTATTATCTTGTAACTCCACGGCAACACTTCAGGTAAAAAGTGGTAGTGAATGCAGCGGTTCTCAACCCAGGAGATGTTAACAAATTGGGGTGGACCATCAGTTGTGAGGGGCATCTCACATCCAGTTATAGTGACTGTTCGGTACAGAGGTTTCTGAATGATTCGCTTTTTTAAAAGAATAAGTTTGAATGAATTCATATTTATCCCTGTCATAACATCTCTCTCGCTCATTTGTACCTGCGTATTCTTTCCTCATTGTTTAGTTGCTAAGTTGTACCCAACTCTTTGTGACCCCATGGACTGTTGCCTACCAGGCTCCTCTGTCCACGGGATTTCCCAGGCAAGAACACTGGAGTGGGTTGCATTTCCTACCCCGGGGGATCTTCCCGACCCAGGGATCGAACCTATGTCTCCTGTATAGGCAGGTGGGTTCTTTACCACTGAGCTGCCAGGGAAGCCCCATTCTTCCTTAGAGGGAGGAGAGAAAAACAGAGAAACAGCTGGTGAACAGTGGTTTCAAATAACCCTGGCTATGTCTCTGGGAAAGTGCTGCTCACATGTGTCCAGGTGGAGCAAAAACTGGGGACCACTGGATTACTGTAGTTAGATGGCACTGGTGGTAAAGAACCTGCCTGCCAATGCAAGAGGCATAAGAGATGAGGGTTCGATCCCTGGGTCAGGAAGGTCCCCTGGAGGAGGCCATGGCAGCCCACTCCAGTATTCTTGCCTGGAGAACCCCCATGGACAGAGGAGCCTGGCGGGCTACAGTCCATAGGCTTGCGGAGTCGGACACGGCTAAGGCAGGTAGTATGCATACACACATAGGTACAGATGGATGGCTTCTCAAGGTCAGATCACTGCCCTCTTCTCACGCCTGCTGCGTGGGGGTTCTGAGAATGATGCTCGCATTTACCCATCAGTATCGTGTGAAGATCCAACCCTGTGGGGCCCCCTGAGGACTGTGTAACGTGAGCCCTCCTTAGGGCCATGATCCCCTAGGAGGGGTAACAAGGTAGACAGCCCAGCCACCATGATATCACGGAAACATAGCAGTGGGAAGAGAGGCGGAGATAAAGTCCAGTCACAGAGGGTTCTGTCCTGACACGCTGATGACTGTCCCCTTTCCTCATACAGCATCCGCTGCAAGGTGCCTGTCGGTGGCTGAAGCTGTATCCCTCCACTGAAACAGGCTGGTTAGGCTGTGACATGTAAATTGGGATTTACATGTCATTTAAACCCAGTGAGTAGCTGAATGCCACCCAAGCCTTGACTTCTACTTCATTGTTCTTTAAATGTATAGTTTAATGTTTCTGTAACAGAGATGTAGGCATTTAACCTCCATGGTATGTCAGTAGATAAGAGTTTAAAAACTCTGGGAAGTCTCCAACCTTGTAAATCAGGTTCTCTTTTTTTGTGTAATGTTTCTAAACAGCTTATAAAATGCAATCCCTGGACTTCTCGGAGCAATTAAGATATCACCTGTGGACCTTTCTTTGGCCATCTCAGGGACTAGGGTGAATGCTTGATTCACCTCTGCCCTGTAACAATATCAGCTACTTTGGTATTTGAGGAGAAACGAAGCTACCTCTCACTAACTCCTTGTAACAGCAGCCCCAATCCTAACTATAACTTTAGGAATTGCAGCACAGAGTGATTCAACTCTTCTGTCTTATTTGCACAGAAACAGAAGCCAGGATTTACAGTATCTTGCGATCCAAAGAAAAGCACCAACCCCAGCCAAGAGCCAGCTCCACCCGTGCAGCCAAGCTGGTCCAGGAGCAGATGTCCTGGCACACAGGGAAGCCACAGGACCGCCGTGGCATACCCATCCTTGCACATCTACACCTACCCGTAGAGCGCCCGGACCAGGCCACACAGGCTCTGCCTCGCTGTGCTTTGGGTTAGGTGCATTTTGTAACAAAGGGATTTGGTGCTCGGGAACTTCATTCACTGGTTGTATTCTGTGTTGTGTGTCCATCATGCACCACCCTCACCCCAGGAGCTTACATTGTGCGCAGGATCTCAGGACGCATACCTCACGACTTAAATTATTTTTTCATGAAATGAAATTTTATTGTGATGTATCCAAAAGCTTCCCTTATAAGAAATTGAACTCTGTGCTCGTGAAATGACAACACAGATATACCTCAGTTTACATTTCTCTCTAAAATTATGTGCAAAGAAGCTTTAAAAGAGCAGATTATTTTAAACGTACTCTTGGCAGTTTGCTATATTAAATAAAAAGTCTTGGTCAGAGCTTCCTAGTGACGAATGATCAGTCAGGCTGCGGTATATCAGGTTTGTTCAGGGTGAGGTGTCCCCACAAGAGGAAAAAACTCATGTTATTACCTGGAAGCCGGTGTTGCGTATATTATGCTCAGCATGGTTATGTAAGTTTTTTAACCCATTGATTAAAATTCTTTCTGTCCCACAACTTATTCCCTTTGATTGGTGGTTAACTGCGTAATCTCGTGTGAATAGATACTTCAGATTTTCCATTCTTGGCGGGCACTAGGCCCCATCTGCCTACTACGGCCTGTCATGTCAACGTGCTGGAGTCATGTTAAGAAGGGTCACTCCAGTTCATGTCAGGCTTCCTGTTTTGACTTTACCTGTTTCCTTTTATGTTGGGTTGAAAGTTTCCTAGTATGTTTCGTGTTATCACTTTTAATCCTTTCAGCCGCCACCACTACCTGGATGACTAGAGATTAGAACCACGTGGCAACATATTTTGTTAGAATCCCAGAGGCAGTGTCTTTCTTTCTGTTTTAATCAGTCAATTCTTACGTTACTTATTTGCATGTGTGTTGCTGGCAGCACTGGGTCTCCGTTGCCGCGCGTGGGCTGTCCCCGGCTGCAGAGAGCCGGGGCTGCTCTCTGGTGGGGGCAATGGGCTTCTCATCACGGGGGCTCCTTTTGCTGCGGAGCATGGGCTCTAGGGTGCGCGGGCTCAGTAGTCGTGGCACCTGGGTGTAGTTGTCCCAAGGCACGTGGAAACTTCCCAGACCAGGGACCGAACCCACGTCCCCTGCATTGGCAGGTGGACTCTTAACCACTGGACCACCAGGGAAGTCCAGGTGACTTTATTTTGAGAACAGTTCTAGGTTTACAGAGAAACTGAAGATTTTACTACCGAGAGTTCCCATATACTGCCCACCTCCCCAAAACCCCTCACACATACACTGTGTATGTGTTTTTAGGCAGACTGTCTGCCCTTGCTTTTTACATGGGAGTTTGCAAATGGCCTTCTTCTAGTCCACACCTTACCCCCTGAAACTGTTAGTCAACTAGTCAACATTCTATCTAGAAATCACCCCACCACAAACCCCACTTTTTGTTCCTAAAAGGATATCATTAAAGGACAAGTCCCAAAACAAACTGTTCAGGGCAAACCTTGTTCAAAAGTTGTTCAGAAATACTTGTTTTTGTTCCAGATAATTTTATTTGGAACAGATAAAATTAACTTTAAAAATTACTTTTAAAAAACTCTAAAAATTGGAGGAAATTAACTTTAAAACTTAATTTCTAGACGACTCTACACATGGACATCACCAGATGGTCAATACCAAAATCAGATTGATTATATTCTTTACAGCCAAAGATGGGGAATCTCTGTATAGTCAGCAAAAACAAGACCGGGAGCTGACTATGGCTCAGATCATGAATTCCTTATTGCCAAATTCAGACTTAAATTGAAGAAAATAGGGAAAGTCACTAGACCATTCCAAGTATGACCTAAATCAAATCTCTTACAATTGTATTGTGGAAGTGACAAATAAATTCAAGGGATTAGGTCTAATAGAGTGCCTGAAGAACTATGGACAGAGGTTCATGACATTGTACAGGAAGCAGTAATCAAGACCATTCCCAAGAAAAAGAAATGCAAAAAGGCAAAATGGTTGTCTGAGGAGGCCTTACAAATAGCTGAGGAAAGAAGAGAAGCTAAAGGCAAAGGAGAAAAGGAAAGATATGCTGATCTGAATACAGAGTTCCAAAGAATAGCAAGGAAAGATAAGAAAGCCTTCCTCAGTGATCAGTGCAAAGAAATAGAGGAAAACAAAAAAATGGGAAACACTAGAGATCTCTTCAAGAAAATTAGAGATACCAAGGGAACATTTCATGCAAAGATGGGCACAATAAGGGACAGAAATGGTATGGACCTAACAGAAGCAGAAAATATTAAGAAGAGGCAGCAAGAATACACAGAAGAACTGTACAAAAAAGATCTTCACGACCCAGATGACCACAATGGTGTGACTACTCACCTAGAGTCAGACATCCTGGAATGCAAAGTCAAGTGGGCCTTAGGAAGCATCACTATGAACAAAGCTAGTGGAGGTGATGGAAATCCAGTTGAGCTATTTCAAATCCTAAAAAATGATGCTGTGAAAGTGCTGCACTCAATATGCCAGCAAATTTGGAAAACTCAGCAGTGGCCACAGGACTGGAAAAGGTCAGTTTTCATTCCAATCCCAAAGAAAGGCAATGCCAAAGAATGTTCAAGCTACTGCACAATTGCATTCATCTCACATGCTAGCAAAGTAATGCTCAAAATTCTCTGAGCCAGGCTTCAACAGTACATGAACCATGAACTTCCAGATGTTCAAGCTGGATTTAGAAAAGGCAGAGGAACCAGAGATCAAATTTGCCAACATCCATTGGATCATCAAAAAAAAGAGTTCCAGAAAAACATCTACTTCTGCTTTATTGACTACACCAAAGCCTTTGACTGTGTGAATCACAGCAAACTATGGGAAATTCTGAAAGAGATGGGAATACCAGACCACCTGACCTGCCTCCTAAGAAATCTGTATGCAGGTCAAGAAGCAACAGTTAGAACCGGACATGGAACAACAGACTGGTTCCAAATTGGGAAAAGGAATACGTCAAGGCTGTATATTGTCACCCTGCTTATTTAACTTATATGCAGAGTACGTCATGAGAAATGCCAGGCTGGATATAGCACAAGCTGGAATCAACATTGCTGGGAGAAATATCAATAAACTCAGATACTCAGATGACACCACCCTTAGGGCAGAAAGCGAAGAACTAAAAGAGCCTCTTGATGAAAGTGAAAGAGAAGAGTGAAAAAGTTGGCTTAAAACTCAACATTCCTAAAGCTAAGATCATGGCATCCAGTCCTATCACTTCATGGCAAATAGATGGGGAAACAATGGAAACAGTGAGAGACTTACTTTATTTTGGGGGGCTCCCAAACCACTGCAGATGGTGACTGCAGCCATGAAATTAAAAGACGCTTGCTCCTTGGAGGAAAAGCTATGACCCAACCTAGACAGCATATTAAAAAGCAGAGACATTACTTTGCCAACAGATGTCTGTCTAGTCAAGTCTATGGTTTTTCCATTAGTCATGTATAGATGTGAGAGTTGGACTGTAAAGAAAGCTGAGCCCTGAAGAATTGATGCTTTTGAACTGTGGTGTTGGAGAAGACTCTTGAGAGTCCCTTGGACAACAAGGAGATCCAACCAGTCCATCCTAAAGGAGATCAGTCCTGAATATTCATTGGAAGGACTGACGCTGAAGCTGAAGCTCCAATACTTTGGCCACCTGATGTACAGAACTGACTCATAAGAAAAGACCCTAATGCTGGGAAAGATTGAAGGCAGGAGGAGGAGAAGGGGACGACAGAGGATGAGATGTTTGGATGGCATCACCGACTCAATGGACATGAGTTGGGCAAGCTCTGGGAGTTGGTGATGGACAGGGAAGCCTGTCTGTCTAAAGCATATACATTCCCTGTGGGGCAGGCTGGCATGCTGCAGTCCATGGAGTCTCAAAGAGTCGGACACGAGTGAGTGACTGAACTGACTGACTGATTTTAGAAAAGCACCCCTATATGATATTTTTGGAATAAAAAGTCAGAATACATGATCAGATTTCTAGAAGTGCTTTTTGAGAGTGAAAAGCTTCCAGAGAGCTGTGGTTTGGCTGCTAAGATACCAAAGCAGCAAAAAGGAGAGAATCCCAATGTCATCCAGGTACAGCTTCCACATCCAATAACTGTCCAAAGACCACGGCAGTTCAGTGCTGGGCCCCGCCCAGCCCACAGTCAGCTCCGGAAAGGAGTAGCTACTTGTTTTCTTTAGAAAAGAGGGGCAAATCTTCCTGCTTAGATTAAGAAAAAGCGCCCCACAGGGAATGTACGTGCTGCAGCAGCTCAGCCTGTCGTTTCTCCTCCTGCTTTTGATAGGAAGCTGGGAGAGACGACCCTGGGGAGAAAGTGTGAAATGACAAGCAGGTGATTAATTCTGTGTGAACACGGTAAGGCTCAGGGTGCAGGAGAAGCAACTCAAAGCATCTTGACCTCTTAAGAGTGCACCTTGAGAATGAAGTGAGAGAAAAGTTGAAAAGTAGCATTTTAGTTGGGTCAGAGAACAAAATCAACTTTACTGAACATAAAGGAGTGATCCTCCAATTTTAAAAAAGGAGGGAAAAAAAGCCTACACTGGACAGTTGTAAACAAAGGTGAAGGATATGGGGGAAAATAATAATATACTTTATATTTGGTTTTCTTTTTCATTATTTAATGCTTTTTGAGTATACTTTTTCTTTGTAAACTGAATGCATAGTCGGTAACTGGCAGTTTTTTTAAGATTTAAAATGGATTTCAGGTGAACAGGTTTTCTTCAGAAGCCTCACTTTCTGGACCATGTGGTCACAACTGAGCTCCTGTTAGCGTCTGATGGCAGCGTGCCCCTTTTCTGGTTTTGAGACGTGACGACGTTGGGAGAAGTCTCGTGAGGTGAGGTGATCACAGTAACCATTACTCCTTAGAAGGTTCCTGCTGGACCATTAGACACGGCAACTCTGTATAGACATAAGAGTTTCCTTGAA